GGCATCAGCGCCAAAGACTCCTTAGCGTTATCTGGTGATGGAGAAGCAGGAGAAAAGAAGAGGAGGAGGAAGCATGTTGAATTCCCAGGTGCTAAAAAGGATTTACATCAAGGTAAATACAATGTCATAATAAACCAAAACTCAAGTCATGGTACCTGTCAGAAATTTGCTTCATTAGTTGCTCTCAACACTACAAATATGACAATGGATTTCAGCAAATTCTTTGAAACAAATAGAGGAACTGCGTAGCTGCTGTAATACAACCATTCGCAACATTGTAATCCTCTGAAAAATGAAACCAAAGTGGTCAGTGTTGTCCTAGCTGTCACCTGTTTGGATGAAGTGTCTCTTGGCGTGGTTTTGAGGATCATTGCCGTCTTCTGGAGTGAAGAAGAGACGCACAGCACTCACCTGACACACACACGGCAACACATGTCACAACAGACACTAACAACACCGTACTGTGCAGTCCGATAGGGCACGAATGTGAATTATTTGACACGTCTTTAAGGCAATATTGCATAATAACTGTGTGCAACACCTACCATGTCCTCTTTGAGTAAAGCCAGGCCTACACGGTCCGACTGAACGCTATGCACGCTGCCAAACCTCTGTGGTCCGTAGTAGTTGACAAATCCTCTGCCCTGCAAAGAGCAACAAATCAGGTTAACGTTACAGTGGCTCCTAAAACAGCAGGAGTTATAACAGTATAACAGTAACAGCAAGCCTGTGACATTACACACTGTTGTCAGCACACATTGTGCTGACGTTGCGACACTGGTTCGACAATGTTCGATGTCACAAACATGAAATGAATTGGGAGAGAATCTGAATATACCTTGACATTCTCCAGTGCTTCATTTACCAGCGCTGCCAGGCGAGTGTGTGTGTCTGCACCAGAGGAGTGCGCGTCACCGGCCCCGTGCGGTCTCAGGTCGCGGACCACCAGGTCAAAGTGGTTCCCCTGCAGTCGCCCTAGCCGGAGAGGCTCGCTGACGGAGCGGATCTGGGACAGACGCATCCCTCTCTTCTCGAACTCGGCTGTCTTCTCTTTCAACCTGGTAATCGGTACCATCAAATAAATAAAGAAGTTGTTGATTTTTGGCATTCATTTTGAGGCATCAGAGGGAACTCAAACACTAGCATAAACCCTTAACATCTGAGGATCGTTGAAGCTTTTCATCTCGACAATTTATGGACAGGGACAAATGTCTCTCAAACTAAAATCCATGAAAGACACTCAGAACTACCGTTGAGTGGAGACCTTCTTGACCACCATGGACTGGTAGGTGATGGCTCTCTTGTCCTTGATCCCAGCGTAGGTGAAATCTGATGGCAGGACCCCGAGAGCGGCTGCCATGTAGCTGATGGCCTCCAGAGTCTCCAGGTTCTCCTTACGCAGAGTGAAAGCTGAAAGAGACACAAACACACCACAGGGTCTTTTCATGATCATTTTGGGTGTTTTTATAATAATCAATATTTTAAAAAATTGTAATTCTACACCATACCAGTGTACACTTCTTCTTCTTTACGTTCCTCTGCCGTTCTTTTCTTTGGCCTCCCTTGCTCTCTCAGCCTGACCGAGATCGCCGTCGTCCCCTGGTCGGTGAAGCTCTTAGTCTCCACCAGTTTGCCAAACCTCCGGCTGAGGAAGTGGTGGACTGCAGTCCTGTGCTCCTTGTCGTCGTCGGGCCCAAACGTGTAGGATGAGCCTCGCACTTTGGCGTCTATGAACCTGAAGAAGTCCTCTGCTTCGTCCTCTGTAACCAGGTGGGACAGCTCTCTGTAGTCTGGGTCTTCCCTCACCCTGATCTCAGGCTGAATAGTGACAGTCATGAGGAAGGGGAAGCGGTGTCTGACGGCCCGGTGGACGTTAGCTCTGTGGTGTTTGTCAGCGAAGGATCCGAGAGAAAGCTCCTGCTTGGTTGGCTTTTCTTTGAGAGTCAACACAAACTGCTCCAGCTCTTCGCTGACCGACTGGCCTAAAATCACACTTAAATCAAAACTGCCCGGACTAGGCACGGTGACATCTAGCCCACAATCGGCTGCCACATCAGTGTCCTGTGAGACCGAGGAATGGTTTTTCCACTTACATTCTGCGCTGGTTTCCTCGTATTTATCCGGGGAGGCACAGTCCGGTGTCTGCGTGGCCGCTGCTGTGTTAACACGCTGCCCGGTGACGTCTATCTCGGTCACCACAAAGTCTTTGATAAAGTTTTTGATGCTTCCGTGAAAACCTTCATGGTTCGATATGTAGCACACAGGGATGGTCACAGCATCACTGTCCTGCTTCATGGTCACTTCATCCAAACACACTGCACAGTTTGCACTTACTCCCGTTTCTGAAAAGGACAAAAAAAAAAAGATACAATTTCAACAAATTGTGTCAGCTGTTACTGGAGACAGAAACAAGGCATGCGTGTTTATTTGGCACAATTCATACACTTATGTTACGGTGTTTTACTTGAATCTAAGAGAAAAAAAATTAAAGATTGAATCGAAAAATAGAATGTAAACATTTACTCAAAATCAGACACAGAAGATAGATAAGAGCTCACGCGATAAAGGCATTAGACGGCACATAATATAATAAGGTTCAAAGACTGCCTTTTTTCGAGCAGTCAGAGTTGGGGCACACCTTCAAAAATAATGTCAGGAGGTTTAGAAAGACGATAGGTGCTTTATTACTGCTTATCGCCCGGGTTATTCATGCGAAATAGCCCGTCTATTTACAGTAAGATGCGTATCCGACACATACATCCTACCCCGACTTTGCTGACAGAGAGCTGTACGTGCTACAACAAAGGAACTAAAACGCATGCCTGCATTTATAACGGGAACACGCATTCATTGTGAAGGAATAACCGTAACTTAACTGTTTGTTTACTCACCGAACCTGCACGCGGTGTGTAGACGAGGAGCTGTTGATGTAAACACAACAACGCTGAAACGATTCAGTACACTTCCGCGTCACGTGACTTTCATGTGACCTTTCTTAAAGGGACCGACAGCAGTCATGGTCCGTCTGTGAAGCACTGAATGCTAGTTTAATAACGCTGTGTGTGCTAATAGAAATGTATTTATGGAGCAATAATAGTGTCAATAATAAGAAGAACCCAATTGAGTATAAAATAGTAAAATTTAGTTAGTAATATTGTTAGTAATAATAATAATAACGAAAATTGTAAATATATATATATAAATAGCTACATGCAAATAAATTATATCAAATAAAAAAAGTATATATGTGCAATCAATTGTATAATACAACCAAATTAATCAGGTGTTAATATCAACAACAAACAAAACCCCATTCATTAGCCGCTATTGTTTTTATAAACATCACTGTAATATGTCAATGTTTTACGAAGACTTGGAGTGTGCCATGAGAACAGAAAAGTGGAGGAACTTGATGCAAGAGCTGTCACCCGGTGGGTTGCACTGGGTTGTACACTGAATATTTTATACACTTGTACCTACTTTTTGGTCCCACACCACTCGTAACAAGAAGTTGTTTTTGTTTCAGAGCACTCATTCTCTGGAAATAACTTGAGCAATAAGAATTCCTGGAAATGACTCATGTTGTACTGCCAGATATCTGATCCTCATATTTTTGCCACATATCGTATCTTGGCTGCTTGGAAGGACACTTACTGTATAGTACAGAAATCGATGCCAGGAAACAGAACAGAACAAAGACATAGATCGTGCAGCTTAAGTGTCTTTTACATAAACATCTTATACTGTAACATGTGTGTATTGTAAGTTAGACTCTGGTGATCACAGACTCCCCAAACATACTGATTTCTTCAAAGTTTTGAACATATGAGTAATGTATTGAAACTTTCTCCAAGACAAACACACACTGAGAATCAGTGGATTCGACTGCGCCTTTTGCGCAGCTGTGAGGACTACCTAGGAAGGCAATAGGTCATCTGCAACTTGAACAAAAAAATATGGCAGCCAGAGTTGTGACTGTAACGAAAAGAAAGAGAATATTTCTCCAAAGTGAGGGTCCCTTTCCTGACTATTGTTCAAGGTTAGATCCAGATAAGTTACATCATTTCCTGCAAACCAGGGACTCCAAACTGCACAATGATTGTATCTATCTCCAATAAATTAACAACTTTTTGTCCCTGTGGGTCCTTCTGCCCACCAACATCCTCTGAGACACAGAACGTCTCTCTGCATTCATGCCCTAAACAATGTTGGAGTGTGCTCCAACACACACACACACGTGTGGATGTGCGCTGGTGAAGTTGTCCGGAACATTTGGAAGCTCCAAGAAAGCTTTGAGCATGTGCGGATATGGATGTCTGTTTAAATGTGTGTGTGTGTTCATCATGCTCTCCAGATGTTTCTATGCTCCATCAGGAAATGATCCACTCTGGATCTGCTTTAACAATTGAAATTCTTCATGAGAAACTCCAGGAACAATAATGTTGCAGCAATAGTGCAGATAGATGGGTGGATGGATGGTGTGTGCGTTCGTATGTGTGTGTCTGGGTCTCTGATGGGAGGTCATGTGATGCAGCCTTTCACTATAGTTCCTTTGTTTGTATCGAAGACATCAGCGGACAAAAAGTACTTTATGGGGGGACTTAGCTGAAGGCAAGTTCCCTCACAGAAACACACAAATAGAAAAATAAGAAAGTGATGCCACTCCTTCAGATTTCGACTTTCTCTCAGCACTGTTTTCTTCATGATCTGTGTTCAGATCAGTCTCTTTCTCTGGTCTTTACATTATCAGGTTGGGTAAACCTGTGATTACTCATCTTTTCACTGTACCAACAGATACACTGCCAATCTGTCTCTTCGCTCTCGCTCCCCCCCCCCCCCCACTCGGAAACACACAATAAAGTCAGCACAGTAAACTAAGAAAGCTGAGGGAAAAACAACAACACGTGTGATAATGATATAAATGAATCACTCCGCGTCTCCAACTTCACGCACACACAGCTCCTCTAGATGGGGAGGGCCTTTTCCCAGTAAATCATGGGGCGCTTCCTCCTCCTCTACGCCCATGCAAAAACCAGGATGCATTGCGCAACAAGAAGGGCACTTTCTTTTAGAAAATCAGCGTTACCCCTCTTTATAGCATTTTGATTTCTACAATTGGGAATTTTTTTTTTAAACCGTGTACATATTTTGACCGGGAGTTTAAGCGCACCAACATGGGGAAAGTGAACGTCTGCTTGAAACGGAGTTACATTACCGTGACAAGTTTGATCGCGGTAAGTGTTTTCATTTCCCTCCTGTTGCACATGACAGAAACAGTTCATAGTCAAATAAAACCAGAGACGCGAAGTGTTTAGCACTTGAAAGTATCCATAAACCAGCTGTTGGATCAGATGCTTGAATCTGCAATTCGATGATGTCAATTTTTTTCAGTGCAATTTGTTGAAGAAATGTGATTTCTTATTTTGCTTAATTGTTGGCATTAGCACTGCAGCTAAAGTCTATTGGAAAGAGTGGCTGTCTGAAGACGTCACTTTGGGCTATGGAAGCTTAATTGTACACATGTTTGGACTGCACCATGACTTGAAGTGCATCTGTTCACTCCAGCTGAAGATGAATATATTTGATGGCCATCATAACCACAGTAATGGGGTTTCATGCATTCCAACCTGTTAATTTGCCTTTGAGGGGTGGCTTTGTTTACTAACTTTACACTGAAAGTATAAAGAATAATGAAGTGTGTTGCTGCCGTTGCAGATACTGAGTGCCCTGCTGTTGGCAGCCACTCTGTTTCACCATGGACGAATCCACCACCATGAGGAGGTAACTCATATTCAACATAGTTCTCCTACAACTAAAGGGGTAATATCAGTGGTTTTTCATAGCCTTCCAGAATGTATTCTCTACATCATAGTAAACCAGCATCAGCCATTTTGCAAACAATGTTACTGTATTTGTACTATATTTTATGTGACAAGAATTTCTGCTGTACAAAACTGAATGGGAACGAATGGCTCCCTTTTGAAATGCATCCAAATCTAAAGCTGTACGGCCTGCATTTTAAAAATGGTCAGCAAAAAAAAGTATGCATATTGCAAGGGCTGAAATTTGCAAGAATACTGGTATGGTCCTTTAACTTAATAGCTATTGTTTTGTATGCCTAAAAGTAGCTCTTTCTTGATATCCCACTGATTTGTATTGCTGCTTTTTTGCGCTGTTTACATGCACATAACACCAGATTCAGTCACACCTTTTTGTTCCTATTGAAAGCTTTGAAAGAACAACACCATAAATCAAAATACACACATAAAGCAAAGTCCAACTTTGAGTCCACGTTGACCATAGGTTTGTATACTATTCCAGCCCATAGAAGAAGTTCTAAAGCCATCTATCTTTCTAGAATATACGTACTTTGTGGGTGCCTTTTTAAGCTCCAAGCTCTCTGACTCGTATGATTCCATGTTATAGATTAAATCCGTTGCAAAATGTCCTCACCGAATGTGACTTGTAATACACATAGAAAACCTGAAAGTGGCGATTGTGCTCGATTACTAATGCCTTCAAGTAAATAATGTTTGAACTTCATGTAAATACTGAACTCATTGTGTACAGCAATAGGGCTGGGATAACCCTGCTCTGTGTAGATGTTAACCTAAACTCACCTTGACATTAAGAATATTTTACATAGTTGCAATCTGTGTAGAAACTGCCAAGATTGACCTCAGGAATTAAGGGCAACAATTCTGATTCTTCAGCAGCAAGCTTGCATGCTGCCCAGATTATTGAACTCGGCTTTTTTTGTCCCTGCTCACAGAGCCTGCTGTTCTCTCTCCACAGATCGAAACGATGCTCCCAGGCCTTTTTTCAACATATGGTATTTCCATCATAACTCTGATCCTGGCCATCATTGGTGTGTATGGTGCTTGCAAAGAGAAGAAGTGGGCACTTATACTGGTGGGTAAAGAAAAAAAAAAAACACATACATTACAACGTTAATAGATGTAGTAGTAATAAACAAGTATAAATCTCCTTAATCTTTTCCCAGAATCTGATTGCTCTTGTCTGTATATGCGTGTGTCTCAGTTTGTAGTTGGAATGATCCTTGGCAGTCTGTTTTTGATTACAAGTGGCATTCTTGGACTGGCTCGGCGACCACAGGTATTACAAAGTTGATTCTGACATGTGTTTCTTTTAGACCCATATATACAGTACGGACTGTAAGTAGCAGGCTGCATCAAAACTGCATTCTTGATCCCTGTAAATGATACACACTGTTCCTTTTAAGTCTCTTGAAGTACTTCAAGGTGCTACCAGACAAGGATCAGTTTACAGTTAGCTCAACGCTACCTCACTTAGTTTGTGTTGCTACGCATGTCAAGCATTCCATTCTCGCATGGCACATATGCATTTTACAATTGTAATGGTGACCAATTTACCCCTCAAAATTCATAGTCATTCTTTAAACAATAGGTAACGAGAGTTAAATAACAGCTGGTCTCTGGATTCCAGCTGACTACATGGATTTTGTCGGTTAAAAAAGGGAAGAGAACCTTTTATTTTTAGGTTAGAGCCGACAAACACACTGTTTAATCCATTCCTTTCACTTGTGTTTTTGGAAAAGCAACAGTATCGGTAGATACCGTTTCGGCAAGTGGGGGAATCTAGAGCTTGACAGGGCATCCATGCCTAGTTATGGTTGCTTAGCTTTCTGACACAAAATTAGATCTGAAGTAAAACTACTTTTACATTTTTCTTTTGAAACTTTGAATGTTGACAACTTCATTCACAAGAAAAACATAGCTGTGTTTTTTTGTTTGCCAAAATACATTTTGTAAATCACAAATGTGCCTCCAAAAAAAAATCTGTAGCATTTTTCAAATTACTGGTTGTCTGATTTTTTTCATATGACTTTGTTTTGTTATGCAGGAGGCTGAACAACTGAATAGGCATTACCTACAAATGCTGCCGCTGAATAATGCTAGTGAGAGTACTATTGACGGCTTGAAGGAAATCCAGATTCAAGTAGGTAACCTTGTGCGGGTGTGTGAGTTAAATTCAAGCATATTTTTGACTCACCATTATTTTTAGTCTCATACAGAAGCAGTTCAAAGTGCTTTAGAAGGTTATAAACCAACTTAAAACACAAACAGCATAAAACAGATTGATATAAAGTGGATTGAGTTTTTGTAATATGGAAAGCATGAGATGTCCACCGATAGAATGGATGTGGAAGATCAAACACAAGCATATGCTCTCCTGATGAAATGACTCTGAGCAACTTCTACTTGAAAAATGTTTAGCAGTTGAACAGAGAAAAGGCTGAAAATCTAGTGCATCGCCGTAATCCGCCATCCTTCCGTCTTCTCAGTTTCAGTGCTGTGGACTGGATCAGGGCTACCTGGATTGGGGCTACAACATCCCACAATCCTGTCTGTGCTCACAGGAGGCCACTAATCCATGTGTGAGTGTGAAAGACACTTCATTTCTGCACCAAACTCGTGTGTATCAAGACCCATTGATATAGCATTGTATTAATAGGTAAAACTCAAATAATACAGTATATGATTGTCGCTCGAATAAAGTTTCGCACGGCAAGAACGTCAAAAAAGCCCGTCGACCGCCTGGTTTTCATCCGAGGCCACTATGACGTTGACATTTGTGGGTCAGAGTGCCTTGTTGCTGAAATATGCGATACAAGTAAACGTGCTTTGCCTCAGGATGAATTGTATTAACAGGTGGTCCTTGATTCATGTCTGTGTCTTCTAGGTGGAAGCTCCCAGGAACAGCAGTCTGTCTGAGTACACAATGAATGACCAGTACGTCAAGATCTATAAAGAGGTAATAAAACCAATGACATTTTTCATTTCTACATTTACTGGTTAATGTGCACACTGTTACCATATTAATAATCAAGACAGTTATAAAAAATAAAAAAATAAACACTGATTCCTCATAAAGATGTGGATTGTTTTTTAGTGTTTGGAGAGAAAGTTTTGAAACAGAGCCAGCCCTCGCATCGCAGCCTGTTTCACCACCAAACAATGTGTTCATGCACTCACACAGAGACTGGATAGTTTTATGTCTTTGGGATTGTTTTTAATTTTATATTTTAGGAACAAAACAAAAACCATGTTGTAGCTACCAATTGCACACTTAAAAATGTGTTTCTCAAAATGATGATGTAGGGTATCCCCCAAACACCTGATTAGTCATTCCTCTGTGACTGATGTTAACTCTAGCCATTTATTAAATTAAAAACCGTTACTATTGTCTAAAGTATGCTAGCACTCTGATTCAACTGTAACAACTATGCAATAGATACACTTTTTCAATCATCACATTACTATGTCATTACAGTAATAACCCCTTTTATAAATGAAGCAATGCACACTTGTAAAGTCACATTGTTTGATGTGCTCTCCTGTTTCAGTCATGCCTCCCATACATGATTGTTTATGTGATGATGGTCATAGATACGGCAATGGGCATACTCCTGGGAGTCACATTATTGTGGGTATGTATTGTGCCCGTCTACCTGCCTCCATATGTATCTGCTCTCAACTTCACTATCTTCAGCTGTCTCCACACAGTGTGTGCAGTAATGGTCATCATGAAGCCCTCATAAACCAAACCACAGCTGTTGAAAAAATGTGATTTAAAGTGGACGCACTTAAAGAACTTCTCTTGGGCTCAAAAGTGGAGGTTTAAAGTTCAATCTTGATCTCAGAAACGGCAACACACAAACAATCTCACCTCAACGTCTGTTGAGTAGCTGTTCTGGACGTTTTTCCAGAACAGAAGTTTCCGTAAGGGACTTGGCGAATATTCCTGGCATGGAGAGTGTGGCTGAACCTATGATTCAGTTTTTAGAAAGCAAGTCCCTTCCCAACATTTTCAATACAAAATCTCCTTGATTTACAAAAAAAAGAAGAAAAAAAAGCAACACCCTGCCCACTAGTATCTCAGAATAATATGACAGTTTAATTGGTATAAGTCACTCAATTATACATTGGTGGTACAGAGGTTGCCCCATCTTATTGGTGAAGGTTTTATATCAAAACTGAAAGAAATACCTGCACAAATAAACAGTCAGACAGATCTGTCTGTCTGACTGTCCTTCGTTTAGCAAAAACAAAGAACACATAACCATCCCACATTAGTAAGAAAAGCACAGGTGTTACCAATAACATTAATAAGGACTCTGTAGTTAAAAGGAATTCAGCCATCGTTCATTTTATCATCTACACATGTGCATTTCTTACTTGTGACGCATCAGAAGGCTATCTGTCCGTGTGTTTGCTTTGTCTTTTCTGCCCCCTCAGTCTCTTTCTAAAGCTGCAGCTCTATTCAAAACAATATATGGTCATAGGACGAAACCAAAAAAGATGAATACTGTAGGAATTAAAGGACCATCTCTGTTTCTCTGTCCTTCAGATATTGTCAGTGGCGTTGTGTATTTTCATCTTGTGTCGGCTGAGCAAGAAGGATGAAATCCCGGTGGTGGTCTACAGTACGGAGGCCAAAGCAGGCAACTACACGCCTCTGGCAGACACTGCAGAGCTCGCCTGATTGGGATTGATACAATGATACAAAGTGTTTTATTCTGTTTTAATATTTACCACGTTGCATGAAAACCATGTAACCTTTATTCACTTTTGTCATCCCATAAGATGCGGCACATGTTTTCACAATGGGGAAAACTGTGGGCTGGGAAAATGGTCAGAAACGGCACACACTGTGAGAGTATTTTCTTTGTTGTATGCACACATATACATACGGCTGATATTAAGTCTGAGAGCCTACACCCTTCTGCTATACAAGAGAAGTGTGGAATAATCATTCAGCACATTCGTTTGCAAGCACTTCCAAGTGGCAAAATGAGTCGTATTGTAAGATATGTAAATAGAGAAAACAATTCAAATGAGATGGAGAAAGAAAATGTTGTTTTAACAAAAGCACTGATGAAGAAGTTACTGCAGACATATTTACATTATGGATGTCTTAAAGCTTCAACTTTAATAAGTGTCTGTATTTTATGGTTGTGTAGCTTTCTGTAATCTTCTGTGTTCTGACAAACTTTATGTAATCTTATTTTTTAAGTTTTTGCCAATCACATTTTAATCAGAGAAGCTACTGGAGCACTTCCAAAGTTCTATAGTACAGTTTTACACAAGAGAATGTAATTGGTACGTGTCAGTATGAAAGAAACAAAGGCCGATACACATGAGATGTTTTTATGCCCACAATAAACAAGAGGACTCTTTATCTGTAAGTGATGGCGCTTCGTTTCTTTGGTCCTTGCCGCTACAGTGCACCCGTTATACTATTCAAGATCTGGAGCAGTGCACATATGGGTATTGCATGACACAGCATTTCTAGGATGAGATACTTTCGGTTCATGGCAGGAGATAGGAAAACAGAAGACAGGGAAGGTGCAACTAATAAACTGTATTTGACATATTTTGGGTGCCAAAGAACCAAATCCAAAGTTTGTAAAAACCTCTTCTTCTTTAGCAAAGCTGTGTCTCCTCTTACTCCCTTATTATCTGCATACAAAAGGAGAGTGTAGGAGCTTATTCTTGTCCCCCTAGTTCCCAACAAGATGTCAACTGTGTAACCTCACTGACATTGATGACATCCTGTGATCAATCGTATGGACTACATGAAAATCAACTGTATCCAACCGGCCCCCTTTTGGTTGGCAAGCTTGCATCCCTGCTGTCAAGTTATTTTTCTCTCGCATAAACCCAACAATGGTCGAAGAATTAGCACAGTTCAATGTCAAAATACGTCAACAGGAAAAATGGAGTGGAGTAAAAAGCACAACATTTCACTCTCAAATGGATTGGAGGTCTAATGTAGCATAAAATTGAAAAGTACAAGTACCACAACATTATACAGTACTTAGGTAAATGTAAGTTTTACAGCTCCAAGAAATAATTTCAAAGTAAAAACAAAAAGGAAGGAGAATCACATATTTTATTCCTGCTATTTACAAAATATTACATCCGTTCATTCCATAAATAACAAAAAGAAACCAGTGTATGACAGAAATAAAAATACCATATTTAGCAAGATACTGTATATTAGGCATTAATGGTTAAAGTGCACAGGTAGACATTGGATCTGCTGTTTCAGATGAAATTCATTTTGACAATATATTGGTCAAGGAGACATTTCAACCGCAGGCAGCTCATGCAGCAAGTCATATTAGGAGTGATGTGGCGTAAAGGCTTCTTCGGTGAGAGTGGCTTCAGTTGGGACATTAGTCTCTGCAAGAATATTGGTGACGTGCTTTCCAACAAGAGTCTCTCACAACCTGTCTGCAGTGGCTTTGCCAAAACGTCTCCAAACCTTGAAATTAAACTTTGGAAGCAAAAACGTTTTGAGGATTTATTGCATGTCTACTGAATGTGCAACCAAACAGAAATCCCTTCTCTTCATCATTTACCTACTAAATGTGCTTTAAGAACAACTGAATGGAGCGATGGATAGTTTCAAATATACATTGTGCATAACAAGGCATCAAGACATTCTGTTGTCCTAATGAGAGCTGTGGCTCATTCCGTTGCCCAACCTGATTATTTACCCAGGAAAATACATTGCTCAATAATCAATAAATGATTATACAGTATTTCAATCAAAGCACTTTGTAAACACTGTTTAAGAAAGGTGCTACATAATGGTTATATTTGTTCAAAGATTATTGGTTGCTCTAATGCTGTAAATTCAATGAGTGAGCTGAACACAAGTAAGAATATTAAATATGTGTTTAAAAGAAGTTGGTCCAGTCGACAAATGTTAAATTAAACCCATTAATTGAGTAATTGAGGTACAGTATATGCAATTTGATTAATATCTGTCTTTCCAAAGACAGTCAATTCAGTGATGTATGCGGGTACGAAGGAAATGGAGATAAATAATATCTGAATATATAATCCAGATAAGACAACACTTACTATAAATAACAAAATGCTGGGAGTGGCTCCAGCTACTCAATGAAAACAGGTGGCTGATTAATGCTTGGTAAGATATTCATTTCAAACAAAAAAGCATCTGAAAATGTGCCGATTATGTTGATATTCAGCACATTTTACAAGACAGTCAATTTCATTAAATTGCAATGTTTTTACAGCAGTAAGGCAAAAAAAAAAAAAGTCACTTGAAATCGATCTTTGCATGTAGATTACTTTTCAATATCAGTAACATGCATTCAACAGAAAAGAAACATATGTTGCTATAGCACAAAATAGCCAGGATTTGGTATACATCATCATGTGTTTACATGTGCAAATACAAATATGGTATATGCTTGATATTCATTTGAAGCGTGTATCAAAACATACTAGGTGACTAGAAGGCACCAGGTACATATCTGTTTGATTGGAGAAGAGCTATGAACTCCTGTTTTCTTTTTATCTGGCCCATCAGCTTGATGCTCATAATGAGTAGAACCACCTGGCAAGGGAAGCAAAGGAGTTACAAGCATGCTGCGGTGCTCAATAATGGCGACCACATGATTTTCTGCTGGCCTGACCACCAGAACTCTTGTGTAATATGTCTACTTCATGGCAGGAAGTACTTATTTGTATGCATTTGTATAATGAAAATGATCTAGCCTATAATAGCTTCAACACTCTTTTTGCAATAGTAGTTGTGTGAAGTCCTATAAAACACACACAAAAAAAGACTCACCCAAAATACTCCACTTCCAAATTGTACAGCCATCGCCAATGAGAATGCAAGCTTGAGTTCAGAAACATAAACTGGTAGGCAAGGCTGTGGGAGAAAGTGCAGGTTTATTGTTAAGGCGTGGCAAAAATAGTTACGATTGTATGTAAAAAAAATGACTGATCTGGGTATACTGCTGCTCATTTGGCCATTTTGTCACAAGCTGAACATGTTGGCAATGAGTGCTGCTGTAATTTAAAATATATTATACAAAATAAGATAATTTGTTTTTTACCTCTTGATAAACGTACTGGTTCTTTGGAGCCCCCAGTGTGGCGCTGCCTCGTAGTCGAATCTGGAGTACAAAATCCCATTACATAATATGACAAAAATGAGCTTCACTGGAGAAAAGTGGGTGCAACATCAATAATATGAAGACAAATTAAAATTTAAAGAAGAATTCACTTCCTTTTTCATTTCTATATGTATATGTTAGTAACATGTTATCACCACTGATGAATTGTCCATCAGTGGTGATAACATGTTACTTCAGAAATCCCAATGAGTCATCTTCACCGATTGTATTTTGCTTCTATAAAGGGAGATACTCACGCATTTTCCTGGATAGTGACAGTTACAGGAGGCAGGGATGGAAGAGCCCCAGTCTTTGTAGCCTTCAATTAGACCACAGCACTCAAACTGGAGGTGACAAAAAGAAACACACACACACACACAGGCCAAGTTAGAAGTAATTCCAAAACAGATAAACCAGAATACTTGTCTGCAGATCCTGGCATTCCCATCATCCCCAAGACCAGCGAATACCTCTTGGCCCTTTAAGATGAGACACACCTGCTTGCCCGGCCACGCCCTGCAGACTAAATATACTGCTGGTGGGACCTCATTCACGTTTAATCGCCACCCAGAGTGCTATGTGTGACTTGTGTGTCTGTGTTGGGGGTTACAGTCTGTGTAAAAAATGTGAACAAATAGCAAAAACGGGGCTCCAGTTGTAGGCCACAGCAGGCTAACTAACTGACTCTATGGCAACATTGTACTTCCTGTTTACATGCTCCAAGGCATTATGGGAACTCTAATTACAAAACTGGGAGCACAAAAATTGCAGACAGACAATGAATACAATCAGCAGAAATAATAAAATACTAATAGCATAAACTATTTGAGATTTACTGTATAAGCTTTCAATGGTTGACAAATGGGACACACTTTTTAAATTGTGTGTACCTTTGGAGGTGGTTTTATTTATTTATTGTCAATCATGACAATGTATTATCTGGATTGTACATCTTAAAACTCGGCCCAATAAACATCAAGCTAAACTAAAATATTATGATAATGGCTCCTTACTTCTTTTTGAATACTATACAGCAGGGTCCTGTTGGCTTTGCTGGTTCCAGTAAGTGGCATCATGGACAGCAACTTTGACTCCTCACGGAGCACACGTTTCTGAGGAGGGAGAAATCAAGACACACTGTAGCCTAAAGTTGCTTTTTAATACAATAGGATTACATCAAATGATGTAAAAATCTGAATTTGCTCGTAAAAGCAGGGCATTAAAGTACTATACCTCGTAAACATCTTGGTAACTTAGTGCTGTTCGAACAATTATTGTTTGACTGGCTGCCGCCATCCCTGTTGCATACTGCACAAACAGATAAACCAACAAGCTAAGTGAAAGTAAGTGAAAGAGAAACATCCCTTGCAGAAAACACTTTTGAACATATGCACTCTGTCCTGCACAGGTAAAAAGAAAATCTTACAAAAACACACACAGTGGTAGTACGAACACATGAAGCAGGTTTTTCTTTACCAGAATCAAACACCATCTCTTTCCTGTGCAGGCTCCAACCACACCGAGCACCGAGAGCAGCAGGCAGCCGATCTCTACAACATACATTATCGCGACAGAAACATTGGACACCAGCTGAGGAGACAAAAAAGCATTGGCTTTAAAAGGGATACATTGACTGGCCTGGCCATGTTGATATTAATGTTATTTTTGTCACAGATGTATTTCCAAGATAGCAAGGCTACAAAAGAGGTCGGAGGTCAGGGTCAGCTACAACATCTGAAGATAATTCACTGTCTCGCCCAAGGACACTTCAACTGCATGATGCTTGCCAACATGACAGCTTGAACTGAGGTCTTCCAGAGTAATATCAAAAAAAAGCTGCTGTGGTGTGTTCAGGCAATATTGATGGAAGACCATGTAAACCCATGCATTATTAATAATCCCCCAAATAGTCCTTGGATGTCCCAGCAACTCTTGTTTTCCTTGTAAAGCCTGGCAAGAGTTGTTTCTGCCTCAGATAAATAATAGTATCTGCTTAGGAAATGATTTCCATCTGCTCAGAAGAACATCTGAAGTTATCCTTACTTTGCCAGTTTGTATCAGGTCTCTATGCCAAGCTACCGTCATGGTCAACATGAAGAAGCACAGTGCCTTTGGAGAGAGGAGCATAAACATGTGTTAAGTTTGCAAGTGAAGAAGATATGGAAAGTGTAGAAGGCCATACAGAAAAAAAGAAGGGAATACATATTTTAGTTTTATAATGCCAGAGGTGTAGTCAATCTGCAAATTATATTTTGTCAGCCATTGTTTTAATATGTTTTAAAATGTTTTATAGTTCAGTAGGCACGAATGGTAGCCAGTAGCACAGCTATCTAGGATTAGGCTAAAATAATACATTTACAGGACTGTAATGTCACAGATACCATACTGCACATGACTCAAAACTCACAGCTGAGAAATATACACTCATTGTAAGCAGAAGCATTATAAGGACATTATAGATATTATTTCTGGGGCTAGGTGGATGTGAGGAGGGATTATATGAGGATGGTCATCCTTTGTTAAAGCAAATTCCAACCACCACTTCTCTTTGATAGAGGCTACCAGTGATATTTCATCTTTTCATCTTCTTTGTATATAACCTTAAAACATGTTACATAAAACATAAAACGCACCGCAGAAATTGCCTACATAATAATTGTGATAGAGAGGATTTCGCTGCAGCATGTTTGTATGAGAGAGACATACAGCACTAGCATGGTCTTATTTGGGTTCATTATAGGGCGAATGAGGATTTTGCGTCAAAATAACAGCAAGCAAATCAAATATTTATACACAGAAAAAACAAATACTATGAACTGCGATCAAATAGGCCTCTGGGCTTCAATTGCATTCAAGAGCGATGTATTATAGGCGACCTACCATATGCACAGCGTTTGCAAAAATAAACGGCCTTTTCAGACTCGTTTTATCCGCCACCACGACCACTGCGCTCCGCTGCATGCTGGCTGCTTCTCTCCCAGGCTTTAGACGCCCTTCCACATGAAGAAAATATTAAGGCTGTAGACCTATGATTAGAACTGTAAGGGCATCTATCTATCTATCCGCACAGGACGTCACTGTTATGCACTGTGTGAGGGGTCTGTGCCGCGTTCGCGTGCAGTCGGAAATATTGGAATCAAGAGTGTTAGCGCACAGGGATGGTGTTCAGTCATGATTAAAAGGAATTCATTCAGGAATTTTAGGTGCAATGGGTGTGAATAATGTGAGCAGTGCCTTAGAAATGACTGAGCTACTGAAATAAAATAGAAATCTCGACCACAATCCAGACAGACTGTGTCTTTAAAGTATTTTGTTTCTAATCACTTGGCTTTTTCTATATGTATTTATTCAGTTCATTAATGGGTTATACTGTTTAAAAAGCTGTTCCACAGTCTTGTGAGTTAGAAAAGTTAAATTTAAGTTCGTAAAATACTTGGCTCACTAACTGTAAAATGTAAGTTCCCCTCAGGATTGCAAAACACATTTATACAACATTCATTAAAAACATTTTTTACAGAGGACATAACCTCAGTGACTTCATACAGCTCTTACTATGAAGCTATTATTTATGCAGTCTTTTATTTTTCATATTTCATGCTGCATTTTAAGCAGCTCCTACTACATTGGGAGGCCCATACGTTCATCCATTGATCATCATTTTGAAAATAAGCTATGAAGGGGCCATTCAGCATAAAATCTCTCACAATCTCTCTGCAAAAATGTTTTCATATTCAAACCAACCATTTTGCTTATACTGTATGACACAAGCCATAATTCACCCAGTATGTGTCTCCATGAGTCCACAGCAGCAGCAGAGAGAGAGAGGCAAAATAACTCATTTGGCAGAACTTCATTTAAAATTCGTGTGAGAGATCTCAAGGTGTTAAAACATCCCACAATGTGCTTGCCCTCTTTAGTGTGACTGATGATTGTTTTACTTGAAAAATGACTGCATTTCCCAGGATCCCACAGGCATAATGGGGCTGGACTACTTCCCTAGAACAGGTAGGGCGGGTTTCTATTGTTTCCACAGGTGCTATGAAGAGGAAGAGAGAGAGAGAGTGAGAGAGAAACACGCAGGAGGCTATAAGACAGTAAGAACAGGAATAACATGACAGAAAGAGGCAAATTTAAAGGAAGGCAAAGAAGCCGGTGGAGGAAAAGAAGCTGACACGTGTGTGAAAGAACAGCAGGTGGATTGGACAGGAACCTGGATTACAGACAAGGATCTTTTTAAAGCATATTTTTATTAAGGAAGTTCCTTTTCCTTTTGAAGGACGGCTAACCAGAACCTGTACAGGTGGACAAAAAGGATGGGATGTTTACCCATGCTTTCTTTTGCTGAGGGCTAAAAAGTGGGTCAACACCTGTGAAGAAGCTGAAAGGAGCAGCAGAGACTGAGGAGGTTTTGTCCAACTAAAAGGGAGCACAACGGGGGACAGGAAGATTGAACTGGCTGGAGACACAAGACACAGAGAATGCAGAATTATTAAGAAAACAGTTTTAGTTTTTAGTCCCTGAAAACAGGCACAGTAGATTTTTCCACATTGCTGCTTAGTCCTACACAATGTGTAGGCCTACACTCTAAATTGTTCAACTTTTAGACCATTTTAAATGTTATTTTGATAATGTTGGCGAGGTAAATGGATGTCAGGCACTTTCTAACCTTTTGAATAGCACCATTTTACAACTTGACAAACAAACTTTCTAAACACCAAACTGGTTTTACAGGCTAAATTTAACCTGCTGCTGCAAATCTAGCCCGGTGACCAACTGTAGCTTTGACTGAAAGGAGAAACAGTTGAGTGTGCCTGTATTCAAGCTTAAAGATAACCCGGTATCTATTGGCCACAAGGTCCACACATTCCAAGTGATCTACAGGACAAGGGGAGAGCATTTCCTCCATTTGTGAGACATTCACATCCACAGAAAGACACTGCTGTACCTCCACCATGCAGACCTCAGGAGCTGAGCATGATGACTCTTTTGATTTCCTGTTTAAGATCATCCTGATCGGAGAGTCTAATGTAGGGAAGACGTGCTTGGTTCAGAATTTCAAGTCAGGGCTTTTCTCAGAAAGACAGCAGAACACCATTGGAGTGGATTTCACTGTACGGACCGTGGACATCGATGGGAAGAGAGTTAAGGTAAGCGCTCTGTGTCTTTTGGAGGGTGTGTGTGTGGGTTGAGGTGGTGATCAGAATATGAGTCGTAGAGCATCAAATCACCAATATGCAGACCTTTCTGAGCAACCAGCCATAGATTCAGAACACAGTGAATGTTGTTGTCACTGAAGCAGAACCCCTCATTATGCCCCTGTAATACCTGCTGAATGCCTCGACCCTTATCATGGGTGTTGTGGAGTCAGCTGGCTCTGACAATGACATGCTGCTTAGCCCTGAAACATGCCTTTTGGTAAAATGAGAAATGAAAAGTATGGTTTGAATTTGAAACTGTCACCCCTGTCCGATGTGATGAACTTTTCTTGGTTTAGGGATAAATGACACCACACACAGGTGACCGGTGTCCTTAGGTTGTTTCAGTTCGACTCAGTTCAAAAACCAGTCAGACCAGCTGCTCACATGAAGGACCTGTCCTTCAGGTTGCTTTGCTCAAGCTTTTGCACAGACATAAATAAACCTGGAATGACTTTGCCGTGCCATCATTAAGATAGGAAGGGATCTAAATGATTTGGGTGGACAGTGGTTGTTTCCGCATACATCTAAAGTCAGTCTGTTACCTGAGTACATCTGGCCTGAAAACCCATCAGTTCATAGTGTTGATCATTGGATCGACACAGGTGTTGCATTCTCTCTTACTATATGGGTAATGATGCCCAGAATGATCAAATATAGTCATTGATATATCAAAATTGACCACCATTTTATTCTGTTTCTGTTCATGTCACTTGTTTATCTGTAGATTTGTCCTAGATTTGTCCTAGCAAGGAGCAAGGAACACTCACACCTACACCAACTCTTTTGTTCTGTTGACAAGCCACTTAGATGACTGCAGAATCAAAAAATCATCATCCCCACTCAACAGGTTGGTGCCTGTTGAGTCTAAAGGTTAGAGAAGCAAGCTTGAAGGTGATCGGTTCAATCCCCGCAGGGTGAATCTGGGTTCATTACCACCACTGAGGTGCCCTTGAGCAAGGCCCTTAACCCCAACTGCTGCAGTGGAGCAGCTTTGTGGCCACCAGATTAGACTGTGGTTGTAGCTGACATCTTCCAGGTGTGAATATTTTCAGGGCATTCCTGAAAATAGAGAAAATTCCCCCACTTTTTTAAAATAAAGGTGAAAAAGAAAACGAACAAGTCATCAATCAACTGAACTTTAATTCGGGAGGAAAAGATAGCCGAAATGTCTACGTCACATTAAGTGACGTGTTGTGTTTTTATGAATCAGTTGATTAGAATATAAGGCCACCACAAGGTTGTAAAAATAACAGAATAAAGTCCAACGAATGACTGTTCCTGTTCATCTGTTTTGTTCTGTCAACAAAACTTAAAAAAGGATGCTTTGATTTTGTTGTTAAGCTGCACACGAGTAGTTCAAACCAGCAACACTGGCATTGAAAAATTGAGCCGGTGAGTTTAGATTGGTTGCCATGCCACGTTGCTCAGATGCTCAGGGAGTATTGTGCAGAGGGACACAGAGCTCCACCTAGTGTGTGTGTGTGTGTGTGTGTGTGTGTGTGTGTGTATCAGTAAACAGTCTTATTTTGTTGTCTTTGTCATTTTGTTGTTAATGTGCACATCAGCCAGACATCCATTCGTGTATATTAAACCCATACAGCTGTTACAGCTGATTCCTTGTTCTTGACTGTGTCTGTGTAACAGATGCAGGTGTGGGACACGGCAGGTCAGGAGCGGTTTCGTACAATCACCCAGAGCTACTACCGCAGCGCTCACGGCGCCATCATCGCCTATGACATCACGCGACGCCCGACCTTTGAATCCATGGCTCACTGGATGAAAGAGGTGGAGCTCTATGGAGCGAGCAATGTAGTGCTGGTTCTCATAGGTGAGTGTGGATCTGGCATGTTTAACATGTGAGGTGCCTGAATACAGTGTCTGTGTTTTTGGAAGTTATTTGTATCAGAGGGTGGACAAAATAAAAGAAACAGAGAGCGGAATCAAACTAAACTTCTGACCTTAATTGAACTTAACTTAAACAGCATCAAGCGAGTGAATCTGCACACAGAGCAGCAAGCACTTTATCGGTTGTGTGGAAAATTTGAACATTTAAATCACTGGATCAATTTTATTACAACAAAAGGAATTTAAACACATGGCTGGTAACATCACACTTTGTTTTGCAGCAGTACTGACAGTACTAGCATGCAAATTAGGCGCACTGATAATCATTTTAACACAAATTTGGTGATGCAGACAACTTTGTTGTTTAAGATAATCTTGAGGTATTGTGTTTGCATCTCTCAGCTCCCTAATTGTCTCCATGTAGGTAACAAATGTGACCTGGAGCAGGAACGTCAGGTTCCGTTTGAGGAAGCCTGCAATCTGGCAGAGGAGAAAAACATACTAGCCGCACTAGAAACATCAGCAAAGGTAATGAGAGTGCTTTCGCATGTAAAACACTAAGGAGATGGCTAAAATCTAAAGTTCTCTATCTTCTTCTTCTGTGTCAAGGAGAGTCAGAATGTGGAAGAAGCCTTCATCATGATGGCTAGAGAGCTGATGTCTCGTAACGGCCTTAATGTCCAGCAGGAGGACTCAATAAGCAGCAACACACCTCAACTTCTCCTCCGGTCCAACTCTCGGGCTATCGTTGGCTTAGGAGCTGCCTACACACCACCAGAGAAGAAGACATGTTGCTGATTCAAATGTGGACAGATGAGAGAGGGAGGAGGATGAGGGTGAAGGACACTTTTGATCATGAATGTTGGAGAAGAAGAAGATCCAAAGATGCATGGATGTTGAATAAGGCCGGCAAGGCCCTCAAGATTCTTTGCATTGAGGACGTTTCAAATTTTTGGAAAGTGTTGAAAAATCATTCAGTATAATTCAGTAAGCTTCTGTAGCTTAAACTGACCCTAGAGAATTGTTAGCTGGTGCTACAAGGACGCGTTTAGAAATGGGGACGTCAGAGACAGTGTGTGATACACTGGGTGAAGTTACAGGAAACCAATCTCATTTATTTCAACTATACTTGGACATTATTTTTCTCTTGGTGTTTGACTGTTACTATTCCTTTTTTAAGTTTGCACTACCAAAATGAATCGACATCTGAATGTAAAATCTAAGGCATTTTCTTATGGTGGTTATAAAACACTTAGGCATCCTCTACACCTGCTGGCCTCAGCCACGTTCTGCAAGTTGTATTTTGTCAAAAAAAAAGCTGTCTTCATGCTTCACTCTGCTGTGAGAACTTTTAGAAAATGTGGGAAAGACTATTCAATGTTATTATGGCGCATAAGACTCTGTCTTCTTCACCCAAGTGACCACTTGCAGTGCCTGTATGGCGAGCTGTGATCCTCTGCTGCTGTGCTCTGGTTGACAACTTTTTGGAAAACCTGCATGCAAGCCAGAAGACTGTGAATTATAAATATTTGTTTGACTTCAAAATAATGAACTTACGTTGTCGTAAATGTATATATTAGGCTTTGAATGTCTTCCTGAAATCCTCCTGTCGACCACCAAATTGTGAACACTAGAGGGCACTGTGCTGTTATACATGACCTGAAGCTGCAGGTCGGGTGCTCATTGCCTTCGACAATAAATCAAAAGGTGATTTAAAACATCCGTGACTGCACTATGACACGATTAATTGAGTGCAAACCAACATACAACCCAGCAAATCACTTTTCAAATCACCATTTAGGTTGAACTTTGCCAAAGTCACTTCCTGCCAACACAACACTCAAACTAAAGTAACCGACGAGGCTTACATCCAGGATGTAATCTGCCTCTGTGTGTCTAATGCCAAATTGGCAGGCCTTATTCAAACACCAATCTGGAGGTCGTGTTGCAGGACTTGCACTGATTGTTATTTTCTTACACTGACACACAGTTGATCTGCCTGATTGATTGATCTGCTCCCTATATACAGGGATGGGTCAAATGCAGAAGTCAAATTTCGTGTATATGTATATGTATATGACAATAAAAAGGGTTTCTATTTCTATTTAGCTATGTGGAACTATTTTGGGAACAAAGTGTAGCCCAAATCTGACAAGCAATAAATGGTCAATCTATGACTATAAAATCATTTTATTCATCTTCAGTTATTTATTACTCATTGGAGATAAATTGTGGTGTGTGTATTATCCCTTCACTGACAGCAGGATTATGCATTATCCCGGTTTTTAAAAACCGGGCCAAAAGCATGACATGCCCATAAACAGGAATGAGGATCTGCATGATGACAGTTTCAAAAAGAAGGAAGTTGGCTTTTTTTTTGTTGGTCTACAGCGCACTGAAGACTTGTTTCCTGCCATGCATCCAAATTCCCTTCTTGGGTGCACGTTAAACCTTCTGAATGCTGAAATGTATAACCTGTGGGAGTTTCAGGGAATATTGGATTTGGATGTTTTCATCATCATCATTGTTAAAGTCAGATTTCAGGCCAACTCATATGACCTCCATTAAAACAGAGTTACTGTATGACATCATACATCTGCAACTTGTCTTATTTGGTGGTTAACTGATGGCAGTGCGGGACAACAAGTTCGGTACGTCTCCCTACACTTTTACCTTCCATCATCGTCTGTCTAAACAAATTTTCAGAAAAAATAAACACAATTTTATTTCCAGAAAACAGGTAGACAACGTCGTACATCAATAAACACAAAAAAGACCAAAAAAAAATGCTTTTTATGAATAAAAAGAAAAGATTATCTGAACTCAATAATAAAATGACTGTAACAGAGAAAATGCACCTGCAGTTCATTGTGTAGGGAATTCAAAGAGACGTCTTTGTGGAGGTTATTAGATCTGATACAGACTGGGTTGGGAAAGCTCTGCAAAAATAAATAACAAAAGCTCCCAAATCTTTGTTTATAGGTCAATTTAGCAATACGGCATTGAAATGAATAATCTTTATTAATTATTTAATGACCCCCAAATCAGTTTTTCTCTTATCCAAACAAGATGGAAAATAATTATTTATATCATTGCAGATTGTACTATTACTGGTCACATTGTTTATCCAAACATCAAACTGAGTCTACCTTTATTAATCCATTTTTCAGCCTCTCCGCAGACCTGCATTTTAATCCAACACTCCTTTGACCTCTATACTAAACCACACCAGTCTGATCCACCACCATTCTAACTCAGCCTGATGATCTCAAACCTTTTGGGCTTTTTCTGTTGCAAAGGCTGAGGCAGGTGATCACCCTGCATCTCATCCGTCTCCCCCGCCCCCTCCTGTGCATCGTTCTCCACCCCCCCCTGTCCTCCCTGTCCCGTACCTATCCCTCCATTTTGTTTATCAATGGGACATTCCCCGTTGTAGGTCTTGACGTAATCCTCGACTCGCCAGCCCCTGAACTCCTGCGGCTCAGAGCAGAACAGGCCGGTGTAGAAAACGCCGGGGTGGTGCTTGAGCCAGTAGATCAGGTAGTGGATGTTGTAGTCACAGATCCAGGGGTTGTTCTCCAGCGAGAGCTTCCGTAGGAAGTAGAGGTCCTCCAGTACGCCATACTCAAAGTAAGGGAGGCTGTTATTGGATAGGTCGAGCTCTCGGAGGTACAGCAGGCCTGCAAATGCAGCTGGGAGAGGAAAAAAAGTTGAGCAAAATAAGTTGGCATCTCATACTGCTGCTTGGATGCTAAGAAGGTACACATCCTAAAGACACGGTGCAACATTACTATTCACCTCCTGGCCACCTGGCAAATGTAAGCCCAATATTCACTCTCTTCTTCACTCTGTAATTGGTGTCCACCAAACCCTGAAGGGAAATATCTGACTCTTATAACTTGAGTTAAAAAGGTGACTGTTGACGTGCGCAGAAGGTTCCAGACATTGTTATCAGTCTGTGTAAAAATGGGACAATGGAGACTGTTTCATGCTGACCACTAGACCTGGGCCTATAGCTTTGATCTTAACTGAGCGGAAGAGAGGAGGGGAGGAAAATGAGAGGAGGAGGAGCAGGAAAAAAGTGGAGAATGTGTGGAACATATGAAATATAGAGAGGATAAAGACATGCCTGAGACAGAGGGATGAAAGAAAATGAAAAACAGACGCTGGGGACGATAATCTTTACGAAATGCATTTTCAATCATTGTAAGTTACTGTTACTGCATTGTCGTCATTCATCATAAAGATGACACAGATAGATGGAACTATAGGAGAGTAAGGAGGAGGGATGGAGCCCTTGTTGAGCCTTTCCTGTCTTATCTCTCGACTCATGAGACTCATGACTCTCCTGTTAATTGCTTTTTAAACCACTATGGCGACAGGAAGCCCAGTGTGGTATACTTTCCTGGTATTTTCCCATGCACTAAAACGTAGAAGCAACATTCTCTGTAGAACATATTCAGTTGCAGTTTGCATGTATTTTTTCCTCCCTTTTAGTAAGAGACCCTTGAGCATCAATAGTAGTGTAAGTCCACCATCCATGAGAGAAACTATTCCTTTAATGACCACACTTCCCTTTGCGTGATTGCATGATTGTTCTCTCCATCTGTACTTCTTTTCAAAGCATCCTTATCTCACCATATTTTAAAACCACTGACGACTTTTTGTCCCAGAAAAATTGCAAGCAAAGAGCTCTAAATAACACCCTAATCTCCAAGTATTTTAATCAGCTCTCCCACACGGATCGCGGAACCATACATCATAACACCCACTGAGGATAAAGCTTTAAAGCCTGTCATCTATTTTTCCAGCTTCAATGCACAAGCTTTAACACAAAAACACGGCCCTCGTCCAGCTTTAGCAGGAGTGATGAATTAGGGATTTACCCCCCAGGCTTGCCTCACTCTGGGCTGACGTGGACAACAACTTTCCATAACAGATTTCAAAGTCTTTGGTCACCATAACTACAGATATCACTGTTGCATAAGTCCCACAATTACATAATTGGCTGCTGCTATGTTGTTGCTTAAATTACAATAACACAAAGGGGAGGCAAGAGAGCAGGATCTTCTACAACGGCTTGAAGAGTGTTACGACTTTTATTTTTTTTTGCAGAGTTTGGAGCTACAGATGGGTGGGGTCCCCACATTACAACAATTTCTAAAATGTCACGTTATTAGTCATAGGAAAGTGCACTAAATTGACCTTCAAATATACGGTACTCTCCTGTGACTGTCTAAATTGTTTTTTTTGTTTTTTTTCGGGGTTAGTCCTTCAAGGAAAAACCACAGCAATCTGGCACAAACATCGTCCAAAACCAACAAGGAAAGACGAATGCAAATAATTGTGCATTTCTTTGTAATAACCCCGTTGTGCCAGAGCCAGAGTGTGACCAGAGTGAGAGAAAAAAACATGAATGTAAAGGCATGGCAAACAACCTCTTAAAATGTATTCAAAATATTTTATTTTACTCCAAATGTGTAAATGATTAGAAGGAGCAACCATGATTGTAACCATGTGTCACAACACATCATTCATTTAAAAATCATTAGTTTCCAATGCAGCCTTGGACACACTGGGGCTAGCTGCAGTAGATTGTTTACATGTGTTGCAGTCTAATAAAGACAACTACAAGGTTTTGTAAAGGATTTCCCTCCCGGGCAGGAAGACATAAACCCAGACATCATTAGCCTGGAGAGAGTAATGAGTCTGCACTTTTATAATGCAACTTGTACTGAGGCAGAATTCAGAGCATATTTGACTTCAGTAAAATTGATCTTTTGGACAGTAAATTATCTTTTCTTTCCCTGTTGAATTTTCCTCAACCTTTCCTTGATCTCTATTTTGTTATTCAGTGGTTTTAAAACGGGCCATTTTTGTTGTTTGTGCCATTATTTTCATCATTGTCTTCATTGGGTCCTAACCTCTTTGGCGATTGACAAAGAAGAGTCTATCTTCAGCCCTCATCAACAGTAGCATATGTCAAAATGTGAGGAGTGGTTCAACCAAAGAGGGATTTTTTTTACTTTGTCCTATTTGAATAATTTTTAGAAGCACGAAGATGGAAAGTCCAGTAATTCTTAGGAAAATATATGAGAGTAAAAGATTACCAAAATTCTGTGTGTTCTTCTACTTTTTCTGTGTGTCAGATTTATCTTGCGACCCCTTGTTGTGGTGTTGATCGCCACGTTGGTAACCACTAGTTTGTCCCATGGTTGGGTCGCTTTCATCAGACTGGTAATGTAGCAGGGACAGATGTACAGGTAAAAAGGTAGTTTAACTTTTGACAGGAACTATGTCATTGGATCTTGTTCTATGACTTTAATGAACACCTGCCAGCCAATCAAGTATCTACGTGGCCGTGGCATAATGCACTGAAGTGCCCAGATGCATGTGCTCAGGTGTGTGTGTGTGTGTGTGTGTGTGTGTGTGTGCGTGTGTGGCAGTTGTTTTTACCTGTGTCTAAATGGTGCAGGCTGTTGCTGCTAAGGTTGAGCAGCTTGAGGTCTTTGGACAGCAGGAACTGTTTGGGCCTGAGATGTTTGATGGTGTTTTTGGACAGATCCATCTTCACTATGTCAGATGGCAGTTCAGACGGAATGTTGTTCAAATCTGCAAAGAAGGAAAGACAGAGAAACATCATTTCTGTAACTGTGAAAGGGGCTGGAACGACAGAGTGCATATTTGTAACGATAAAGATGAATTCCTGTATTCCTGCTGCTGTAGGTTTACAGGATTGAGGCCGATGAACTCGGCATACAAAGAGCAACACTCCAGAATCAGCAGGAGAGCTGGAAATCTGTCTGCATCATTATACATTTTCAAGATGTTGTGTGGGGTTGTATGCAACATTTAACCGTTTCAAGATGGATGGAGTCGAGTGTGACAGCATGTATGACAATATTTCACTTCTGTGCCAGGAGGGAGAGAGTTTCCACGCTCTTTCAGTGTTTCCATTCTCACACGCACATCCCCCCCCATCCCAGTAAGAGTGTTGTTGAGGACTCTAATGTATGAAACAGTGATTCCCACACATTCCCATTTCGATAGCAGATCTGTTCTGGAGATTTAAATCAGACACTAGAACACATTTCCCGACGATGTTGGGATGGTTAGAATAAATATATATCACTATCAACACGTTTTGTCCCAAAGCTAGAAACAACAGAGCTGAAGCTTAAATCTATAGATTATTTGGAGGTGCAGACAATGAATAGATCCAGGTTTGTGTCAAGACTCCAATTGCACAAGTTCTGGCAGTTGGGAGAAGCAGTAAAAGTAAAAGAAAACAGGCATTTCAATGGATTTTGAATTGCTTCTTGACGGTCTTTACACTTTTTTTCACCTGTAAAAATATGCAAATTATCTAAATTGGAGGTCACATCTGCCGTGCCAATCATGATGCAATTCTGTTTTAAACTGAGTAGGAGGCCCCGGCAACCTAGTATCATCAAAATGAACATGGTTGATTGTTGTTTAAGCAGTTTGCAAAGAGGATGCAGTTGAGAGGAAAAAGGATTATGTTTCGCGGCGAATACTAACTAAGATATAATTAAACAATGTTGATCTTTTTATAAAATCACTGCTCTATTTTGTAGATATGTGTGTGGCTGAGCATTCATGCATACACATGCATTTGGACTAGTTTCCGGCATATATGTATTTACACAGACAGTATGATCGTCTCAGAAGAATGCTTAGTGGCCCTTTTTACAGAGCAGATGTTGCAGTCTTTATGCACACGCTTTACCGCCACAGATGTTGTTGTTATTTATCAATGGAGGCATTGTGCCATAAATCATAACTGAATAAGAAAATATAATCGCACGCGCACAGCATGCACACGGATGTAGCCGATGCACTAAGGAAATGTAATTATTCTTGCTCAGTGATGTAATGCAGTGATGGCTGATGAGTGTGCAGCAGGCAGAGACATTTACGAAGGCAAGAACAGACTTCCCACAAGTTATCAGTCCTTGAAGTCTAAAGGGAATCCCACCCTGCCTTAGGTGTACATGCCTGCAACTCCTTCCAAGCAGCATTTTCAGATTAGAAAGCGCTGGCATTCAGACTCAAATTCCTGGGCTACCTTGTGAGAAATCTTGGAGCCAAAACAGATCCTCTCTGTCCAAGAGGGATACGTCTGTGGTCTTCTGTGTTTCACAGAGAATGAGGATAATCTCTCACACGGTGTATTAAGTAGAAACAGTAGGTTTAGACTAGATAAGTGGTGTCTGTGACCAGTGGGGCCCATTTTCTTGATATGCTGAACCAAAGACGGAAAGATTATCTTTCGCCTTATCTTGATTAGCCATGTTGCATGTCTGTTTTAACTCTTTTTGCATTACTTCCTGAAGCCAAATGTTTTCAGGAAGTTAGATGTTTTATCAGGAGCGTATGGGTATCTTGGGATTTTTAATGGAGAAACTGTTTCCTATAACATCTGTCCCTCTGCAGACTGCTGAATGAATAAACACACAGAGAGGGGGAGAAAGAGAGAGAACACGTCAGGAAACGTGAAAGTAATTTATTCATAACTGGGTTTGGACTGGATTTTTTTTTTTTTACTGAATCTGCTGAAGTCATTATTTCAGGGCACATGTGAACATCTGCCCCTCTAGGATTCGTACTTTGCTACGACCTGAGAAACTCTCTGCTTGTCTCGTCTCATTGGACAGTTGCCTATTATATTTCATTTACATTATGGAGTCTCAATTATAGCGCCTGCTTTATGTTAAAGTGACAGGTTTGAGTGACTTCCTGCAGTAATTTAGTCCGTCATTCGCCAAAACATCCTATGGAGGTTCCATTATTAGTTCTGTGGGCCATGCATTAGTAAAACACAGGGATTAAGTATTGCAGTAAATGCACAGCAGTATTTACATAGTTTGAACCGATAGAGCTGAACTATTTCCATGATTTAGTAAAAGTGCAGAACATTAATCTGGACGTATATCTACATATCCTGCTCTGGAGGGTGTGGGTTGAATGTCTTTTCTTTATCATACAGTCTATGAAACTAAATCAAAGTTTTTCCAAAGGTTAAATTTATAGCAAGCATAAATAATGATTCCGCTTGGAGCAGGTGTTGCAATATTGTTTCCTGCTGTTTAGACAATAGAAAAGGAAGCAGTTCATTTTTTACTGCGCTGACATAATATACTCTGGGGTCAACTGTGCATTGTGCTGTGACTTTTTGTGGTTTGGATACACACCCCATGTGTTTTTTAGCCACTAGAATGGTTGCATTAAGTAGCACTGAATAAGTTCACATTCAATATTTCATCTGTGTGACATATTAAGAATGTTCTGTTACATAGATTTTGCATGCTGTTATGTTTGGGCTTCATGTAATACACATAACTCTCTTTCACCATTCAGACAAAATATAGAGGCAGAGGTGAAGCCGTTTCTAAACATGCTGACAACTCTGTTTATAAGACATCACGATTACAACAACCAGATTAGTGCCTATGTCCTCCCTGATGGTCTTGAGAGTCATGCTACAATTTTAAAAGATGTTTATTGCCTTTAACTCACAGGGACAAAAGAACAGAACAGAACAGGCTTCCATATTAGACTTTAAACAATCATGTATGACAGCCACTTGAAAACTTGAGCAAACGTAAACAGACTCGTTTGGCTGCACAAGAAGTTACATCTTTGTTAAAAGAGTTACAAACAAGCAAAACATGTATAGGCCTATACCCTCCTTTCTGCAAACCTGGATAAATCAATCGAGGACCTGTCTTGCCCAGGGCTGAGTACATCTAGTTGCCTCTTTTTGCTCCATGTCACCATGACAATAGTTACTCGGGAATAACAAAATAATCAAAATATAATCGATTTATTTTCATCCAAGGTACATCCGTCCCGGAGGTAATTGCCAACTTGCCGTCAACAATATCACAACAATTGGTTCCAGTGGGATTTCCATGTTGAGTTTTCACAATGTGTCAGTGACCTTTTCACCGCAGGGTGAAACATTTCTCTCGGAAACTCTGAACCTTATATTCAGTTTCATAACTGTGCAGTTCCGAGTGTCGACAGGACATTCAAGCTATTGTAGGAAAGCGTCTTGGCGCCTGGCAGAGTCTGCAGCTAAATCCTGCTGTTAGTAGAGAGTGATGTTTGATGCTGTCCTCTTTCTCATTCATGCTTTCTGCCTCATGATCCAATGACACCATGGTAGATTCTTTTTTTTTCTTTTTCTGCTGACTAACTGCCCGCTGTCTGTGACCCAGGTGGTCCAGGGAGAGCCTGACATAATATTGTGCTCCTGGGCGTTTGTGTGACTGGGAAAGCAGCCAAGTCACCATATATATATATATGAGTCACTTTACTGCTGCCTACTCAAATGGCCTGAAGTTTATATGGAGGATTTATGTTTCTTCTGAAACCAATGATGTCGTGACCTCATGAGCACAGTCTTAAAGGCAAAGTCTAGAATTTGGCCAAAGCAATCAACACCACTGTGTAGGTTTCTGAGCAACATCATGACATGTGTTCGGAACAAACAACCTGACTAAAAGCTCTATGAGGATATAAATAAGAACATGTGGTTAAATTAAAACTCATCTGGCTCATAATCTACTTTCTAACTAATAAAATACCCCAAAAGGTACTTTGTTCAGTAATTTAATACATGGTGTGTGTTTTTCTGCTACTTTTTTATTCTTATTTTATTTTTATTTATGCTAATGTTACTTTTTATGCGGACATTACCTGCACTGTAAGTTAGCTTCAAGCTAGCCAGGGTCTATAGATGTCTATGAAAAGTATCTTTAAGCTTACTCTGGCACAATACATCAAATAGGTACATTTATGTTTCATATTTTAGACCTAAGTGGTGTATAATAAAAAATACGACATACAAATTAGCTATAGTGGCTTCACTTCTACAATTTAGATACTGGGAGTTCTCAAAGTGTCCGCTGTATAAAAGGGGCTTAAACAGAAGTCATTTGAAGGCATGTTTTGATATTGCCACAGAGTACTCTGAAGTCCACGTTCAATCTTTGAGAAACAGCCTTAAGAACTCGTATATCAACTGTAACCGCTTTGTGGAGCATTGACCTCCAGTGAGAATAATATGGAGCCTGAAATCTGCTGTGGCTCACCTCAGAGAGAAAGCCTTCAAACCAGCGTAAGGGAAACGGGGAGAAAGAGATGGAAAAGGGAAAATATAGGGTTTGGAGAAAGAGAGCAGAGTAAGTTTCCACTCTGCTCTGGGTTTTCTAATTCTTGCCTATATGAAAGAAAAGGAAGTTGGTTCCACCTCCACACACTCATGTTTACCTCCTTATTTGTTTTTGACCATTGTGATGATACTTGACTAATTCCTCATGTATTATTATTGCACTATGTTACAGTCAAACAGCAGCTAATTTACTTTTAAAAGTGCCAATCATGCAATGAAATTAAAAGTTGCAAGGTTGGACAAAACAGGTCAAAATTATCAGCAGATTTTGTGTCTGTGTCTTGTAGCCTGTGTCAAAATATATTGCACCCACATAATGCATATTCTTGAAAGTACAGCTGTAATAAAAATACCACAATCTTTACACAAATTAAAGGTATCCGAATGCAACCTAGTAAATATGAATGCAAACCATGTTGATAAAGATTTATTAAAAGTCCGATATTAGGAAGGTAATATATTCAGTAAGTTTGTTGGACCTGAAGGACAAACACAGTGCATTTTGGTAGGATGAACTGACTGTGGGCATGACTTTTTGTTTCTTTGCAAAACTACTCCAGAGGGCACATTTTATCCCAGGAGAGGAGAACTAGATTAATGGGAACTTGGAGGCAAAATGCATAAAAGTGTCACAGTCATGCAACTAATCTGAGAGAGACAAGGGGTCTACAGAAATGATAAAAAAAGGAAAGTTTACTGAAAGAATGCAATTCAATATGCATTTGTATATCAGTAGTGAAGCCAACGTTTGCTATATTATTCCACAGCATTCCAAACTCTGCCAGCGTCTGTTAAGTGCTCAGACGGGAGTCAACACAATGTGTAATGATGTAATCTATACCTGTTATTAGATTTTAGAAAGCATTGGTTCTGGATGGCAGCGCAGTGAAAACAACAAAATGAAGAGATTCCAAAGCTCAACTGGCATCAGCTCACAGTATAACTATACTTTATGTGCGTCCTTTGCGAATCAAAAGCACAGAGACAATGTATTGAATGTCATGCACAACAGCTGTAGCATATTAGGCAACATTCACACATTCACATATCGCTTTCATGGTGGGGCATGGTTTAGGAGGCAGGATGTAGAGATTTATTATGAAGCACACGAAAAGAAGAAGAGATCTGGAGAGATGGATGGGAGAAAAACAGAGAAACCTTATCTGTGCTTCAGATAAAGAATTGATTCAAAAGTTTTACTGTAGAAAAAGAAAAAAGGGAAATATGTTAAAAAGCCTTCCTTCAGCATTTACACAACACAGGCGTTGCTTTGTGTGCTTTTGGCTTCGCCGTGCTCTGTGAAAGATTTCTTTCTGTGAAAGGCTCTCCATTTATAGATGCGTTCAATTCTAAATTTCAATCTGGGAGCTCACTTGGCCTTGAAACATAGACACAGACAATCGTTCAGTTCAGTGCGCTGACAGCGGACACCATTTGGGGCGGAAGAAGAAGAAGACGACACAGAGAAAACAGATGAAAGGGAGAAGATGAGGGAGCAACCAAGAATAAAGAGCCCACACAAAAGTAACAAAAAGTGATCTGCGCAAAAATTCAGAAATTGTCATCCATGCCTGCTGTCTGTGTTTGAAAAGCAACACTGACACAGTTTTTATGGAGCACTGAAGAAGTTACAGCGTCATTGATTGCAACCTCATGGTGTCGTTTTCACACACAGAGAGAGAACCAGATGTGAAAACTGGAAGAGCTGAAAGAAGCCCTCGCTTTCCCTTCGCTCCATCTCTCCTCCCTGTATTTGCACTGATGCCTGCCTGTTTCCATATTTCTGCAGCATTCTAGACATGCTGACTCATTAAAACTGGAAACACAAACAGGGTATGATGCTGGTGGTAATTACTGCCTTCTAAAATGTCTTGGAGGACACAAATCTGCAGAAAGTTAATGTATGCATGATTCAAATTAGAATACAATACAAAAAGAGATGGTGTTGAACACCGCAACAGACCGACCGCAACAAGAACACAAACACTCCGCAATGCAGCTCATCGGAAGGCTAAACAATGCAACGCAATCACAGCAGGAAGGCTGATGTCAACCAATTTAGGCTAAAATGGAAAATGATGGTCCATGCTTGAAAATGCAAGCTTTTATTTTGACAGAACAGACTACGACCAGCCTGCTCCCTCTCTCCTAATGAAGAACAGATGGCCCCCCGGGTGGCAAACCTGATAAAACAAACGCATCTCTGCTCGCTCAGCCTCAGTGGAACCAAAACATTAGACAGTAAACTAATTCCTGAGCCCAATTTCACTGAATAAGCAAGAAGGACTCGACACTGGAGAGTGCTGAGCAAATGAACAAAAGTACCTTTCATACAAGGTACTCTTCTGCCAGGACAGTCTATTTGTTATTGATATATTTCAGCTAAACACACAATGACACACAATGAATGATTTGGATTTGGCTGCAAATGAACGGTCTTTAGGTGAGTTTACGCCACTCCTCAGAGTCAGTTTGTTTCAAGTTAACCCTTTTCTGTGGACACAGTGCACATGTTTCCTTTTTTATAATCAACCAGCATAATGATTGCTTTGGCTGAATTCAGTTTCAAACAATTATAAACAGGACATGACACAGTGAAGTCACAGGGATACAGAACTTGACAGTCTCACCTTTGTTGCTGCAGTCCAGCAGAGGTTTGGGGAACATGTAGGTGTGGCACATGGACGTGGCCTCTGTCTTCACTTTGATCGGCGGAGGCTTCGGTCGCCCCCCATCTCCGCCCCCGGGCCTCCTGTCCACCTGGCTGTCGTCCGCACACAACAAGTCCACGTTCAGCTTCCTCAGCTTCTGGCCACTCAGCGACTGGGGCTCCACACACTTGCCGTAGTTGCCGAGGTTGCGGTTGCTGGGCACCTGCAGGGTCCTGACCAGGCTGTCCAATGAGCAGCGGCAGCTCCAGGGGTTGTCGTAGAGACGGAGGTAGGTGAGGCGGGTGAGAGGGAGCAGGACCTCCTCGGTGGCTGTTTTCAGTCTGTTGTGCTGGAGGAGCAGGGTTCGGAGCTTGGAGAGGCCAATGAACGCTCCGTCCTCCACCATGGAGATGTGGTTCTGCTGGAGGTCCAGGCTCTTCAGCTGGGTGAACTGGGAGAACATGTTGCCCCTTAAAACCTAAAGGGAGAGACGTAAACTGTTGGTGTTTGTGTATGTCTGTCTCAAGCAGAGCTTTGTCAGACTCATAGACGGACGAGATATTTACTATTCAGCTCTTTAGCTGCTAGATGTTCCACTATGTTCACCAGCTATTCGCTCACTTCTTCTGCGCTGGGCAGCTGCCCACTGAGCCTGAAAATATGGCTCTCGAGAGCGGTGAGGTTGAACCAAAACAGTAAAGATGTGAGCCGTAAAAAAGAAAACAAGAAGCTAAAATGCTTCATAAAACTGCAGAGTCGGGTATTTCTCTGCATTCGTCACTATAAGCGAAACCTTCAAGTTATTTGATCCGTATAAATCTGAAGTGTTAAATACAATCTGCAAAGATTGGGTTTAGATAATGAAATTGCAGTTTTAAAGAATACATATAAATGTTTTATAATTCTATGCAGAATCCAACAGGTCTAAACATTCAGCTAAAAATTAACTAAAATCCACTTTGTTCATTCTTTCCCTCACTACTCATTCATTCAACAAGCCAACTCTTTGAACTTGAAAATAAGGCCTAATTATACTCATTTTCACTGTTCTTTGTAAGTCACTCGTCTTTATTTATGACTTTGCAGGCAAAGCTTTTTTGTTTTATTCCTCTCAACACCTCTGACACACATCCTGTGTGCTCACTCAGACATGCAAACATCTACACACAAATACGTAGCAGAAAAGTCTGTCTTTGATCCCGGAGCCAAATAAATGGTGCACAGATGCTCATGGTATCAACAAGCTGGCAGGGTTTAGCGTCAGAGTAAGAGGCTTGAGACGCTAACGCACAGAATAGTGATGCATTTGTTGCACAAAGCTGTGCTAGACACTTTATTATTGTTAGTGGGTCTCTTTAATAGTCTGCACAAACCTGAATCTTATTTCTTGCCAAGAGCAGGTGGTGAATATCTTTGGGCCAGTGCTGCATCACGGTGGTCAGCTGCCTGTCCTGACAGTCCAGGTACTTGTCCCCTGCCTCCACGTATTCCTTACACTCCTGAGTTTGGCGCCGCATCACTCCGGCTCTGCCTCTGCCCCGTACGCGGCCCCCAGCGCCCCTCTCCACAGCCCCTGACCGAGGGCCTCTCTGGGGCTCAGCTGACCTGAGGAGCAGCAAAAGGACGAGGGTGGCGAGGAGACGCATGATGGGAGAGGGGAGGAGAGACAGGGAGGCCTCTCACTAATCTGGTGAACCTTGGACGACTTGGACTTGTTGGTAGATCGGTGTGACGGGACACGGGAGGCCGGTCACAGCTGTGTGTATGAAGAGGAAAAACAGAGGGGAATTTTTAAAAGGTCTTAAATGGCCACAAACTCCCTCATAGTATAGCTGACAATTAACATTTTTAACTTGGGTGATTTGCAAAAAAAAAAATAAACTTTCAGGTGATGCAGTCTTAACCAAGTTTTGATAAATGTCTGTATGGTTCTAGTTTCTGGAATTCCTCTTTTGAATGTCCCTTGCCTCTAAGATTACAGATACAAACAAAAGAGAAGTGCTGCTTGGCACAAAGTCACGTAAATTCTTTGAGATAGTTGCTTATTTACACAAAGTTCTCTCGCAGCGGAGCTACTAGCTAGCTTGCAAGTGTTGATACAGAGGCAAAGTTACAAGACGAATATCATCAGCTACTACAGTGTCAGTTTGTAGCACAAGGGTTAAAGCAACAGTGTACATGTAAGAAATTGTTACAATTTTCTGCATTTTGCGGTCCACTTTGAATACACAAAGTACCATACCATACAAACATGAACATTTCAATGTTTTCACCCAACATGTACACGTGTAATTGTAATATAAAGGTAACGGTTAAACAATTAATCGGATTGGTGGAATGGAAGAAAACAAAAAGCTGGAGAGTTATATATTCTGAGGGCGAGATTTTAAAAAGTTTAAGGTAATGAAAAAAGCGAAATCATTTCATTCACAAATACAATAAAATGTCCAGGGATTTGTCTTAGTGGCATGTCGAGACATGCTGACAACTAAAATGGTAACACGGCACATGTTGAAAGAATTAGCGGAGAGGCAGAGTGAAAGGAAATAGGGGGTTTGAAGCAAAAGACCTCAGCTAAACCGACCCGGATGCCCTTTCTCTCTACCTTTAGTGGCTCTTGTCACAGCTCTGATTCCATCTCTTTCTCTGTTTTCATTTTGCTGTCTTGCCATTGATGAATCATCCAATTGTAGGATGTGTATCCCTTGCAAAAAAAAACATGTCTATTGCATTTGACAGAATTGTTTATGAATTTATTGTTTAAAAGAAGAGTTTGAAATCTTGGGAAATACACTTATTTGCTTTCTGACTGAGCGTTGGATTGTATTAAAGCTAAAGCCAACCGCCAGTTAGCTCAGCTTAGCATAATGACTGCAAACTGTGAGTGAAACCCAGAGCCTCCGCTTGCCAACTGGCAACTTGTCCCAGCCAGGGAGTAGTCTGGCACAAACCCCCCCCAGATTAAACATAATATATATAATGTGTTAATTAGAGGTGCTGGTAGTCGGGCCAGCTGTTTCCCAGTTTCCAGTTTTTATGCCCAGATATATGTACTGCCTGCCTGCATTTGTGTTATATTTAACAGACAGATATGAGAGTGCTTTAAATCTACCAAACTGTTCATATAAAACCACTTTCTGACTATTTGAATAACAACCCTTGTTGTTTTTTTATCTCTCTTCCTTGCAGCCTTGCTGTCTTACAATTTGTACTGTCCAACTATCATCAGCCACAAATATGAAAATATTTACGGCTGAATAATAAGTAAAACGTGTTTTTTTTTGTAGCCACATAGCTACTTGTTTGGACTCCCTGCCTGCTGCCTATGTGACTGTGTGTGTATTTTCCTTTTGTGTATTTGTGTGAGTGTGTGCATTGTCTGGTTAAAAAAGAAAAAAGAAGTGAGTCATGGGTCCCTTATGTGATCAGAGGCATAAAGGCAAAACCACAGGTCTGCCAAGACACCCTACACACACACACACACACACACACACACACAAACACAGACTCATGTGCACACTGATTCAGTCAAACTGTACCAAACCGCAACCCCCCTCCAGTCCTCCAGTCTGTCTCACAGTGGAACAAGCCCGTCAATGCAGATGGTGTCGTTCCATTGTGAATAACAGACTGGGCATGTTAGCGAGCTACAGACAGAAACAGCTGAGAATGTACCAAAGGAGACACTTTCCAGTCCAGTGAGTGCTCGTCAACTGTCCAACTGTCAATCGTCTCAAATGAAGCAAAGAGGAAAGTTCGATTTCCTCCACTGCAGCCGTCGCATGCAATAAAACTCTTCTAGTGAGCTGTTGCTCCAAACCCAAAAGGAATTGAATAGGTTCATCTCAGCCACCATCTGTCAGTGTCTGTATGATTGGGTCTCTCTTTCTTCTTTCTATATATTTATATACAAGCATGCCCTCATAGATTAATATGTGTGTGGGTCTGTTTGTGTGCACAGGTACAACTACGAGCACACGTTCTTGTGCCTGTGTTGCATGATTGTGCAGCTGATGAGAGACATGTTTCAACACAAGGCAAGACTTGTGCCAGTTGAAACACCAGACTAGACTGGACTGAGGTGGAAAGCATGGAGAGGGTTCTTGAGTGGACCCAGACACAACTCTGCATGTAGTTCTAAACAGCTCGTTTGCAAGATCTATCGGTTCAGCTCAGCAAACACACACTCCACTACAGTGAAGTGTCCACTGGTGTCAACACTAAAAAGAATGAAAGAATTGAATTTCACTTTTAAAAGAAGCTGGTGAAACGGTTCACTTTTATTGCACAGAAAAAAAGCTTGTTAACATTTTCTCTCTCCTTCCCACTATAATCGATGCACCATCTCCAAACCATTTGGACCAGTGCTGGTACTTCTCAGATCTTTTCCACATCACAGCTGTTCACCAGGAAAGGTCCAGCCCTTCTTAAAAAAAAACGACGGCCATGGTCAGCCTGTAATATCCATGACACATTCCAGCTGGGACTATAACAAGCCCAATCAGGCCAAACCCATCCCTGTGGTTCACCTCTAGCCCATACCAGCTCAAATTAGCCCTCCCAGTCTAGTATTATTTCCCAAACCAGCTCCTTCTGGTAAGTCTGTGCCAACCCCCTCCAAATAAACAGTCTCCCTGTGCCTGTAAATATCGAGCAGAAAGACCTCAGGGTTTCAGGCACTTCCAGAGGGATATTGCTTTAAATTCTATGCAGACTGTTTTTTTTGCTGCCATTGCCATCTGTGCTGAACCAGAATAAAGGTTTGTCTGGACATGGAATGTGGCAGCAATATGTTTCACATTTTGGACAATGGAAAAAAACGAGCCGCAGCAAGAATCCGTGGCATTTTCTTATGAAAAGATGGCAGGTAATTTGTTTGCCCTGTACGTGCAAGCGTGAACGATAGCGTTAGTCGATTTGTTCATTTGTAACAGGGGGGGGGGGAAGAGTTTTTTTGGGGGGTTCAGCCACAATTAGCGAAGTGAACCGCCCCACGAGCAGCTCTTTTGGTTGGAAAATTACAGATCTAAGATGAAACTAAAAGAAGGGCGGGACTCCGAGAGAAATTCGCGAATTGGAAATCCGTCTACTGCTTCAGCACCAAGGACAGCGGCGTAGTGATATTTCAGAGCCACGGTAGAGGGCCATGTAGATTCTTACTTGCACAAACCTCAGTCGGATAAAAGATTAATGGAACGGAAACAATGACTTACCTCTGAATGTCAAATATTATCTCATCATTCATATTCTAGCCTTCAGAGCTTTATGTAGTGTCGTATTTGACTGACAGTTTTATCAGTCTGCACAGTTTAGTGAGTGCTAAGAGTGTAGTTTACAGGAATCAGGTCACGCTCGGTTAACAGCATGTTGCTTGGTTTTTTATATTGGGTGCTAATTATCAGACATTTTATGTTTTTTTAACATTCCTGGTTTAATTTCAATACTTTCACATTCCAACCACATTAGGTGGATTTCACAGGGAGACCACAATCAGATACATTTACTTTTACCAGTGAGAGTATGATTATGTCATCAGTTATAATAGAGATTAAGTTTCCAACGTGCACTGAACTAACACTGCATCATTGTGTCTGAAATGGGAGTAATCGTTATCTGGGGATTTGTGTTAAATCTTTGTAATGGCTTTCAAAACCAAAACAGTTTATGCACCAGTCTTTTAGACAAGTAAGGGACAGCAAGGACCCAGCACAAGAGTGCTCTCAATCAAAACAAACCGCTGAATAAATGCTCACATCTGGAGTGTTTCTATGTGTGGAATTTGTTTTGGGGGACTTTGTGCAGAGAGTGTAGACTTAGAACTAAACTCCAGCTGAACATCATGTGTCTCCCTGCTGCACCAGCTTTAGTACATCTTTATCTGAAACTTAACTCCTTTTTTCATTCTTTAGATTCCTGCACTCTTTACACAATCTTGTAATTTGATGAGAGCATTTCCTCTAAAGGCTCAGAGTTTCAGACATAACTGTTTGACTGATTAAGTTACAGACATACATAATATAATGTAGTGGAAAGCATCATTTAACCAGGTTTGGCATGACTTCACTGGTAACATTAGCCAGGCAGAGAGGAAGTTAGACCGCTCTTCCAAAGAACCAAAGGTAAAAGTGCAAATGAGTGTGAATGAAGCAGGGAAAACCTCCACACGCTGAACACATATAAAAGTGTATATTATAACAGTATATTCATGCAAATGTACACAAAGAGAGACAATAACATATGAAATAGACAAATGTTGACACATTCTGCGTCTGTATATGTTTTCTGAACTGTCTCTGGGCTCCAAACGGGTAGTTTGGCCTCAGCAGACCGGAGCGGAAACAGACATGTTGGCCTCTAAAACCATCACAACCCACGTACATCAGGAAGAGGCGGTGAGAGAAGAGACACTCCCTGACCTTCAGATAAATACAGACGGAGGAAGCACACATAATTGAAAACCACAGTGTTTCAGAATGGAAAGTGAAAGACGGAAGGAAAGTCCTAAAGATGAGATTAATGTTAGAAGCTGAACTTACATGGGTCATAAAATATTATGATGCCAAAGGGAAAGGAGAGGGATTTGTTTGGTTTCAGTTTTCACACTGCTGCGCTTCTGTTGAGAGAACACCCAGGGAGGTTGTTTTTTTTTAAATCCTAACCAACTGAAGAAAGAGCCAACAGCATAGTAGACCGGAGATTACATTTGTGGATCAAAAAACAGAGTCCATTCCACATTATATATATACTGTATATATGAAATATGCAATATAACTATTTTTCAACACATGTGTATATAGTTGTCTTGTCTATTCTTTACTTTTATTTGTTCAGCTTTGTTGAACTTGTTCTTAGCTGCTATGTTAATTCTGTTAAATGCTTTGACTCCGACTGGTCCGGTGGTAAGACTTGAATCCTAAACTGCTGGTGAACATCCCTATTTTTTCCCCAACACTGGAGGGACATTACACAATTACGCTAAAACAACTGCACTTATCACATTATTGTTTTCATGTCTTCGTGAACCAAATCATCCAACTGAGTTTCCTTCCGCTTTACGCAGCAGTTTAGCGTCTTTTAGCTCATTGTTTTGGTTTTGCGGCCCACAATTTCACTATTGTTCTTCACTCTCACAGCTCTCATCATGACTGCCGTTTCCTGTTGGGCACGTCGTTTCCAGACAGACACAGTTAGCGACTAGCTGGTAAACATAGCTGAGCATTTAAGAGCAAGATGTTCTCTCAGGAGATGGTGGACACGAGACCGGAGCAAAAAGGACAGTGAATGCTGGACTTACATTCATTTAAATCGTCAGAAACTCAACTCTAAACCAAGGCTGGATGTGTTAATAACAAATTGTTTGCTAACACATTAGCTATATCAACATTATATGGTAATATAATAAGTCAAACTTGCAAGCTTGCCCCCAAGTGGCCAAAAATATTGCTCCTTATTGATACATTTGTAAAGGACAAAGTCCTTTGAAAACCCAATGTCACACCTCTCACCCACAAAACCTTGAGTCAGCAGTCGCTATACCTGCACTGGCGCTCTGTAGAGACTCTCCATGCTCCAATAACACTGGGGACTGGGGATGGAAAGAGTTCAGACCTCCAGAGGAAATTGTTCGGAAACACAAGGGGCCACTGTGTTAAAGAGAGAAAGCAAGAACAAGCAGGGGAGGCTGCAAAAACAAGAATGAGCCCTTTCTCCTGAACTACTAATAGAAAAATGTCAAAAATTCACGTTAAAACACAGGAGCAGGCAGAAAGTCAGTGTGCCGGTCAGTCAGGCAGCTAATTACAGAAAGAAACAGTGACAAAGCCACACGGAGCACTCTTAATTAAAGGTGAGCGTGTTTTCGTCTGCGAGCCAACCTCCCAGCAAGCTGACCTGACTTTCCTCTGGGCTGAATTCCCTTCATGTGTGGAGTGCAAGTGTGCCCGAAGGTCTGTGGCTTGTTAATATGCAACAGACCCAGCATCCAGCTTTAAACAATGAAAGGAACACGAGGAAATAATGACAGTATTGGGTAAAGAGAAGAGGGAGAAGCACGTCTAGCCCTGAATCCAAAACCAGAGGATGAGACGGTGGCAGACATATACTGTGAATGGAGCGAGAGCAGGCGACAGAGAAGAACCCTCAAACATCCCTGAGAGCCTAATTGAAAACAGACATGTTCACTTCTGCAGAAAAGAAGAAGAGAGGCAAGAAGGGGGGAAAAAAAAGAAAATTACAATTTGGTTTCCCACAGAGGGTCAGAGGTGGTAGACTCAGAAGGAGAACCTTTGTGGTTGAAACAGGCCAAATGTGCCTTTGTTTGTGTTCCATATACCCATGAGAAACCAGATTTCTACAAGTCTCTGGAGTCCAGACCATAAGAATAGTAACCGCAACCCTCAAAAGAGGTCAACGTCCCATGCGCGTGCGTTTCTGAGTCCATGCAGCTCCAGTGTGTGTGTGTGTGTGTGTGTGTGTGTGTGTGTGTGTGTTTATGTGTGACAACCTGCCAGCTTTCAGCTGACGTTATGCAGGCATCAGAGTGGTCTCCCCCCTGTTTCTTGGCTGTTTTGACACTAACTACAAAACACTCGGCTCCGTCATAAAAACGGTATGTGTGCCGTAGAGCTGAAATGTTTTAGGTTTATCAATTCTGAGCCAGATTTATTACATACATTTTTTTCTGTTATGTAATACTCTACTGTGTTTTCAGTTTTCTACTCTTTTTTTAATCAAAAAATGTCTCTTGAGTCATGAGATGTTAAGCAGAGCTACACATCCACACACAAACACACAATGTCTCCCCCAACCAACCGGCTATGTCCATTGCTTTGTGTTGGTGCCAGACACATCTGCACCTTAAACACACACACACACTCACACACACACACACACACACACACACACACACACACACACACACACATGCAACAGGCACAGCAAACACTCTCACTCTCTCTCGCTCCTCTCTCTACAAAGTGTTGCACTTAAACTTAACTGCGGCAAGCTGAAACAGCAGAAATTTTAGTAAAAGAGGCTCTCTCTCTCTCTCTCTGTCTTTGTAATCAGAGTGAACTTGCAAGTCAAGCTTTTTCTCTTCCCCAGTTTTTTTGTTTTTTTTTGGAGCAGGATTCCAGAGGGAAACCACACATTGCTCCGCTCTGCATGGATGTGGAATTTTTCTGAAACGTACACAGGGGCATGTAGAAAACCTACAACTATACATGCAAACTCTGCAGGAAGCGCTGCAGCCCTTCTGGCTTCTTCTTTGGTAATATTATGCCCTCAAATTTTTTGAAATCTGTACAAAAGGAGCTGTCCGACAAAACTCCTAAATCCCACCAAATTCATGCTTAACAGGATAAACTGCTGTCTATGTTTTCAATGAACATGAGCCATGACTGTCTAGAATTACTTACAGTACAAGGAGGTTCCAAGTGGGTAAATTAACCCATCACTTTACCAGAAGTGTAAGTAGCTCTGTATGTTGAGTTACAAAGGGAACGTAATGCCTAATCATTGCAGAGTGCTTATAAATCCGGGTGTGTGGGACTACCAGTCAGTTGCATAACATAAACAGCAAGGAAGAATCTAAAATTAGCCGTTGAATGTTGTCTTTGCTCAAGATATTATCTGTAATTTATCAACGTCAAGGTGCAGTGACCCTCTATAAACTTATCCCAACTTCTACAGTAAAACTCCAAATTAGAATTTTGTAGTAGAAAAAAGAGAGCTTACTTCAGCAGTTCCTCAAGTATACTGAGCAGGCAAAAGATGCAACTTCACGGTAATGAATACAATAACTCGTGGCTTTTTTTGGATGGAGGTTTGTCCGATCTTATCTTCACATGTTCAGAATTTTATCATTGGTGCGAAATACATCTAAGCTGCAGGTATTTGAATCAATGTCTGACACTGAACACGGTGCTCTGATGTTGTGTTGCTGCAATGTATCTTTAAATGAAAGTTGTATATATTGTTTTTTTCTGAGAAAAAGAAGGGAAGTCACTCTTCTTGTAAAACCTTCAGAAAATATTGTAAAAGAGGCAGAAATATTACATGCAGTGTAACCTAATAACTATTTCACATTAAGATTAGTTTAATATGCTGTGGTCTTTTCCAAGACTTCAGGGAATCAGATTTTGTCACCGGAAACTTAACTGTGGTGCCAAGCAATACTTGCCAAAAAGAAGAAAAAAATAAATCCTCTTGCGTATTGAATATTGTATCAGGAAGGATTGGGGATTTGCTGCTTCTTTCAGCTGAATAATCTTTAGTAGATAGACAGATCTAATGCACTTTGGTTCAATATGAAGGTTTCAGTCCTACCTGTACAGGGAGAGAATCTGGCTCAGGCTCGTCCACTAGGACCTGCAGATCTCCGGTTGGTCCCGCGTCCCCGGCTCCTAATCCTGTCATGAGCGCTGCATCTAAACCAAGAAAATCTGCATGTCTGCCTTTAAAGTTAGAGCTTGGAGTGAGGGACGAGTGACTGGCTGCTTTTCCAATATCTCTCTCTCTCTCTCTCTCTCTCTCTCTCTCTCTCTCTTGCTCTCTCTCTCTCTCTCTCTCTCTCTCTCTCTCTCTCTCTCTCTCTGGCTGCCTGTGCTGAGTGATTGACTACTGCCTTATGCAAGCTGCCTCTCTTGCTTTTCACCCACTCAGCTGGATCACACTGAGAATGTGAGGAGAGAGAAGGAGAGAGAATGAGACTGTGAGCAAAGTAAAGCTGATTCTCAAAGGAGCCACGAGGCTGTGTCTGGTTTAGCATTACACACACAAACACACACACACTCATATACACATGTATGAGGGCTGCAACCCTGCACTGGTTCCCCTCTGTTAAACCGGTGGACTTCCTCCAGGATATGCATGCTAGTCGGCCTTATGGGTCGAGAGAGATAGACATACTCGCCAAACACTCGGAGTAAATCAAATTATAACGCAATGTAAAGAAACCTATTTGGAACATTAGTTAGAATACTTAGTTCGCTTATTATTTCAAGCCCAAGCATTATGTTTATCCTAAACCTAACCAAGTGGTTTTGTTGCCTAAACGTAACCACGACCATCAAGGTAACAACGTGGCGTTAAGTGACATGTAAAGCCATTTCACAACGTGGTGTATAAACGGCACGTGAAAAGTTGCGTATAAATGACATGAAAAACCTACAATGTGTGCAAATGACAAACGCAAACCCAAAGCGCAGATATCGGTATCCGGGGACGCAGGACCATAGCATTGCTCCATAGCCTCAGTCCACTTCCAACATCTGACGCTGAACGATGTTACAGGCAACGCTTGTGGTTTCACAAGGTTTTCTAAAAAGTTTGCCACCTGGACTTGCCATCTGGACTGCATCGCTTTACAGAAGTGCAAGAGGTGGAACCAGCCACTAATACAGTGATGTATTCTGTCCTGACACTTTTTTTAGCCCTGTTAGCGGCGAGGTCCAGACTGAAATGTGGATTCCCCTGACATTTTGAAAAGACATTCATGGTCCCCAGAGGATGAATCTTAGAGACTTTGGTGAATCCCCTGATGTTTCCTCTAGGACCAGAGGATGTCATTTTTGTTTTGCAGTGACTGAAGTGTTTATTTTTAACATGTTCCAATTCTTCACTTTGGTTTATGACTAAACACTTGTGTTGATTTGTTTGACATGTCTGTGATAAATCATGTTTGAGCTTCTGGTGTCTTGTTTGAGGTTAACTCTGTGTGATTGTTTTGCACTGCAGTACATCTGTATATTTACTTCTGAGGCAGTGAAGATTCCCCACCACTCTCTACCACTTGTTGCTAACATGAACCAGTTGGCCTGTCAGCTCCCACACGAATAGTTTCATCAAGTAAGTGGGCGATTCTGCGTAATTTTATGGAGCCACAAGACGGCGATCCCCGATAATCAACATACTGCTGCTTGCTCTGTCCTTCTCCCCTTCTCTCTTCTCTTCTCTTCAACAACACGGGAGAGAAACAGCTCCATATTAGGGCCACCATTCTGCGCTGGCTTAACTGGATTGCTTACTGGCAAACACTTCAAACAGCTTGAGAGCACTTACACCAGAACAACTGTTTTAAGTAAGTAGCGAGAAGCTGCGATGGAAACCTGGGGGGGGCAGGGGGGCTTTTCTGAAAAGGCTGTAAACCAGTCAACCTATCTGTTTAGCAGCAGACGGCGGACAGTAATCCGCTCCTCAAACATGCAAGCACCTACTGTACAATCACATCTGGAAGAGCATGCCTGCATACCATCTGTCAAAGCTGACCTCATGCATGTGCATGAGTGTGTGTGTGTGTGTTTGTGTCTACGTCCGTGCCCAGGGATGATGCTCGTGTGCCAGGCCAGCTGTTGTGCCAGTGGGGAGATGAAGGATGAGCGCCTTGTTAAAATGCTTCAAACACATTCTTTAAAGAGCCAGGTCGACTTTTGACCTCAATGCATCCCTTTAAGACATGTTTATAGCCTCTGTGTGCTATATAAATGTCTAAATATATCTATGATGAAAGCACAACGTGTGATCATGGCTAATTTTTTAAGGCAAGTGGAAAAAAATGCACTGTCAATGCCAGATATCATCAAAAAAACAAAGCTTACAGAATCTGAGGCAAGGTTCAAGTCTGAATATATGAATATATCACGAACTCTTGGGAGGTAGGGAATCCAATATAAATGTCATTATAATTTATTCTAATTGTATGCTTTGGAAACTGGTGACCCCAAACATGAGAAACTGCCCTCTCATTAGGCTGAAGCTGCATTTCCAGCCTTCGCCACAGGGAAAACATGTTGGTAAAAGATCAACTCCCTAAATCATGTTGGGAAAAGCTGCAAACTAAACAGCAGACAGACAAAGTTCAGGAACAGTTGTTGAACACAGCGGAGCATTTAGCTGCTAAAGAGCCAGATATTTCCTGGAGGAGTTGATGGACACCGAGCCAAAGCAACAAGTAGAGTGAATATTAGACTTACATTCATCAAGAGGCAAGAAACAGTAACGAAAGCTATTGTCTATAAGCAATCAAGCTGATCTGTGGGTAATGTAGGCACCAGCTTTTGACATGGAAGAATGCAAGCCGATATCTCTGGTTCTGCTGCATCGATTTTTGATCTTCATTGTCTGTTATGATAAAGGAGATGCTAAATCGATGGAGAACTCCTTTCTTTTCTGGTTGGAGATGAGAGGTTTTCATTTAGTGTACCAGCTATAGGACACTATTTGATCCTGGACATACATGTTTTATCAATTACCTCTGCTTCTCTCTTTCTTCTTTGCATTTCTTTGTTGTTGTTTTTTTAGACGAGAAAGAGATGCAGACAGATGAGGAGAACGGCTCCCAGTCTGTGTCCCATGCTTTTCTACCTGGCCACAATCCATGACTGACTGGAAACGCATTGGAACAACACGTGTACACACAAACGCAGCAGTACGGATGCAACTATTTAGACAAACCAGATGACTCCATATCTCTGTGGCTACAAATCTAAATCCTATTCAATCAAAGCACCGTACACTGAATCCCTCCCATTACAGTGCGGAGCACTGATTGAGTCCACGCTCACGTCAAAGACAACGAGCATTAATCAATCTTTAGATGAGGAAACAATGTCATCTTCTTCTTTCCCTGCTTTGTTTTCTCATCATTTTCTCACTGTTTATCTCTGTCCTTCTTCTTGCTCTGTGTGTCCTTTCCTCCCACTCCTGGTGATTTATTTGTCTTGCATAATTTCTTTCTCGAACACTCACTCCCTTCCTCTCTTTCTTCGCTGAGCCAGAGGAAAGGCTGGAGTCTAGCCGCTAGAAGCTACGTATGGGAGGACTAGAATAAAAGAGTTTATGTTGAGCGACATGTTACACTGGATAATCACGGAGTGTTACTAATCAAAATAATCTTGACACATCTGGAATGTGTCCGCGGATAGACAAATAAAGGATCCAAAAAAGAAAGAAATCAACAAAGACACAATCAATGACATCGTCTTTGTATCTGCAGGGCTACTTGTGCGTCACATAATAAACTTGAGTGTCTGTTACAATCTGTGTCTGGGTGCCATGTTGGATGAAAGGATCCAACATGGCACCCAGACTAATGAAGGCTGGATGTAGAAATAATAAATAGACAGACATTAAATATGTCTAAATAGGTGTCAACGAAGAGAATAACATGTCTACCTCTAGTTTATTGTGCTGTAATGACTAATAAAATGACTTAACTGACTGTGTGTTTAAAGTAATGACCATTAACGGGAGGGTGGAAAGGTGACTGTTTGCATACAGTTTAATAATCTGCTACGGTCTCCACAACTGAGAAATGAATCCCATCAGACTGAGGTCTGTCCACTTTCTTCAACAAACTGGAATTTGTAGTTTTATTTTGCCAGACAAATACAGGGAAATATCAAGTGTGTGTGTGTGTGTGTGTGTGAAATTGGTCTTTAAATTTACAAACACGCAAACATTGCTTTATTATGAAAGTCAAATAATACATCTCTCATATACTATAGCTACTGTATATCCAATGACTGTTTAGCGGGAGTTCACACAAACAAACCAGTGATAAAACCCCTCACTCCCCTGTATCAGACAGATAGAAAATAATGGCTGTATTAACGGCTTAAAGCTGTCAAAAGTCAACATTTTTATCACCATGCTCTTTCCAGCCCCTAATGACTGGATCACATTTCGGAGTTTTTACCATACTGCATAGCTCTTCTCCCTACTGTGATAAGACAACAAGGCCGAGGATAAGTTCATCTGTCTCCTTGTGGAGGATCATTCTTCTCTCAGAGGAAGTGAAAAGATTATGCTGAACAAGAACAAGCTGATATTTATTGCTACAACTTGAGGGAGTATTTGGGGGTGGAGAGGATTCAATGATTGCAAACTCTCCCCTGTGAACTTCTTTACTGTTGCTGAACATTACTTACAATCTCACCACAGTTTTCATTCGTCTTGCTTTTCAAAATAGACCTCCACCCTGGATACAACAGCCTCCTGGTCAAAAAGAAACCTGCATGTGTAACCCTTAGCAGACCAGACAAACGTCTAAATTAAAGTCCTGTTAGCTCCGAGGGTATATGTAGCTGTTCTCCCTGAGGGGAGTGCAGAGTGAGGTCACCAAGACAAGTTTATCATGCACCGGAAATTTCCCCCGGCCAAGCAAACATTAGTCCAAAGAAGCACCATTTTTTTCAGTGGCTGGAAGAAAATAGAGATGTATTCACGTTAAACTCATTTGCAAAGCAAGTTTGGCTGCTTCTCAGACTTCGTGTTGAGTTTATAATCTGAGGTAGCTTTCACTTTTATGGGAGCCTCCAGCTAGAAGAAGTTTGCAGCATGACACGGGTGTGGAATCATTTTAAGGGTTAGGTGATCAGTTTGCACTTTTCTTTCCAAATGTGTCATATTCTTTATTCCCCTTTCACAAACCGATATTGCGCGCAATGATTACACGTAGATTGCAAATGGTAGCAGTGTCCCATTTCGTAATACATGTCACTTCGCAAATTGCAGACACGATTGTTTTTTTTACCCATA